GGGAATTGGAGGTCACAAATTCTAAGTTTTTTTTCCACACGGAAATTCTAAATTTCTATGTTTATGAATTCAAATAAGAGAATTGGTGCATGTTAATTTATAAATTCTAACTTTTACCAAAATTCCAAGTTTATTTCTCTCATTCAGTGAAAATGTATCAGAAGAGTACGCTACATATACAAGAACCTCTGGTAAGAGTGAATTAACTAGAGATCAAACCATGGCATCAGCACCATCAACTCCCTATGTAGTAATCTTCCCTTTCATGGCTTACGGCCACACTCTTCCATTACTGGACCTCTCGAAAGCTCTCTCCCACCGGAAAATCAAGGTGTCCATCATCACAACTCCATCAAATGCAAAATCAGTTGCCCAACACCTAGCAAACTACCAAAATATAGACTTGATTGAAATCCCATTTCCCACCATCGATGGCCTTCCTCAAGGTTGTGAAAACACCTCCCAACTTCCATCCATGGCTTTCTATGTCCCTTTCCTCGTGGCCACCAAAAAACTCCAAACCCCTTTCGAACAAGTCCTACAAGGAATGAGGGAATCCAAATCCCTTCCCATTTGTGTCATCTCTGACTTCTTTTTGGGTTGGACTCTCTCTTCATGCAGATCCTTTGGGGTCCCTAGGTTGGTTTTTCATGGCATGGGGGTCTTATCAATGGCTATATGCAAAGCTGTGTGCGTGCACATGCCACACACGAAAGGGAAGTCGGTTTTCGACCCCATAGAGTTGCCAGGTCTCAAGCTTCCCTTTGATCTAAGTGTTTCGGACTTACCTGCTCAACTCATTCAAGCAACTGATGAGAAGGACCCTTTTTCTCAATTCATAGACGCTGTGGGAGAAGCTGACATCAATAGTTGGGGGGTTATTGTGAACAGCTTTGAGGAGATAGAGAGCGGAACTGTTTCTTCATTTGAAGCTTTCTATGAAAATGGAGCTAGAGCTTGGTGTTTAGGACCTTTGCTGTTGTATGAAAAAGTTGAAGGTGTTGAGAAACACATCAGCCACAACCAACCCAGCAAGTTAATGCAATGGCTCAATGACCAAGTGACTCTAGGCTCTGTGCTATATGTCTCGTTCGGCACGCAAGCAGACTTGTCAGATGCTCAACTTGATGAAGTGGGTTTGGGTTTGGAGGAGGCTGGGGTTCCATTTTTATTGGTGGTTCGATCAACCACTTGGTCTCCACCAAATGGACTTGAAGAGAGGTTGAAAGGTAAGCCTTGTTATGATATGAAATTTCAGTATTCTCCTTATTATATCGAATCATATATTTTTAAAGAGTAATGGTATTAGATAGAATATTTGTTACATCCCACATTGCTCAGTGGAGTGGATTCTGAAGACCTTATATGAATATTCTCATATTTACCTAGCACGAGGCCTTTTGGGAGCTCACTGGCTTCTGGTTTCATTTGAACTCCGAAGTTAAGCAAGTTCGGGTGAGGTCATTCCCAGGATGGGTGACCTACTAGGCAGTTCTCGTCTGAGTTCCCAGAAAAAAAACCGTGAGGATGTGGTCGGGATCCAAAACGGACAATATCGTGCTACGGTGGAGTCAAGCCCGGGATATGATGAAGGCCCGGGCCGGGATGTGACTATTTTTTAGATATAGTTTTTAAAGTATATTTAGAAGAAATGATTTCCGCACTCATCTTTATTTTTATTTATGTCTCTTGATTTTTGTTTGATTTATTCAGTCCACGTACCAAAATTCTGACATGCTTGATCTTGATATTTGTGATTTTTGTCAATAATTTTGTATCCAATACATTAATGTTAAAATTTTAAAACTTAACTTTGAAGGTAAAGGATTGATCATAAGGGAATGGGTTGACCAGCGCCAAATACTGTCACACCGAGCAGTCGGAGGGTTTTTTAGTCACTGTGGTTGGAACTCAGTGCTTGAAAGTATATCTGCTGGAGTGCCAATCTTGGCTTGGCCTATGATAGCTGAGCAGTCTTTGAATGCTAAACTTATTGCCGAAGGACTTGGGGCTGGACTTGGCGTTACAAAGAGCCATGATTTGGGGTCAGGAATTGAGGTTTCGAGGCAGGCAGTCTGTGAAGGAGTGAGAGAGTTGATGGGAGGAGAGAAGGGAAGGGATGCAAGGGAGAGAGCACAAGCTTTGGGAAGAGTAGCTTGGCGTGCGGTTCAAGAAGGTGGTTCGTCCAATCAAGCCCTAAAAATGCTTATTGACCAACTATGTGCATGTTATGCTCAATAGATTAGGTTAGTTTGTCTTATCCAAATATCAATTCCGAGAAGGGGTGTGATATTCACACACCCCATTTTACTTCTTACATACCTTCTTAATTTTCGGCCGTTGGATCAGATGAATTGAAGAAGATCAACAGACATAAATTATCAAAGGGTGTGTGAGAAGTAAAATGGAGTGTGTGGATAGCACACCCATTCCGAGAAATGAAAAACTTCATTAGAGGATATGGATGTGTACACATGTGTGCAACATACTAAAACAATTCTCTTATGTTATTCGATTGGAAATTTGAATTGCCGATGAAGTAATTTTTGGTATAAATGATATTTTACATTAATAGACACTAAAGAGGAGAAGAAGAGTCTAAAGCCGGAACATAATGGTTTAAAAAAACCCCCAACCATCAGCTCAGACAATCCATCACTTGTAATTAACTAAAGTTATCAATCTTAACTTTTGTACTTGTACATTTTGCAAGGGATGGGAGAAAGTAAAGGAGTGTCTCAACAATAACCATCATGAGGTGATCCAGTGGTTGAAGATGAATTTCAGGTCCGTATTCCACACGGCACATCCTGAGTTCAACTCTTAGCGTTGATGAATCGCATGAAAGTGGTCAGAGAAAGGCTTAAATACTTTTATGAGTTTTTTCAGCCCCTGAAAGGATAGATTGCCGTAGCAAAGCCACTAGGTGGTTTTCTTTTAATAATAAAAAAAAAAGAAAAAAAAAAGGAGTCTCTACAGTGGATTGTCCTCCCTTCTGTGGGCCTTGACAAGTAACAATCCATCTGTAGTGTCCTTCTTTAAGGGCCTTGACTAGTAACAATCCATCTGTAATGTCCTCCTTTAAGCACAAACCTTCCAAACATGCTAGTGTCCCAACATGATCGAGTGAGTCGAAACCAACAAGCCTGCCAGAGAACTCCCCTTCCGGTTCCCTTAACACCCCTAATCCCCAAACACGCATCGAAAGCACCATCGTAGTTGATCCGTGAGAGGTGGACATTGGCAAAGACGCTTTTGGGTACTGCACTCTGTATAATTTTTAGATAATACTCTCATCATTCCTACTAATTAAGGGTTCGTTTGGATGTGCTTTTAAAATTATTGAAAACGCTTTTAGAGAAAATGTTTTTTGGTTCCAAAAGCATTTAAAGTGTTTTCTGCAAGGAGCACCAGTTATGTGCTTCTTCCAATAAGCACTTTAAGCGATTTTCCAGAATATACTTGCATTTTTACTAATAATTAGTTCCAAAAACATTTTCAACAAAAGCGCTTTCAGTCATTTTAAAAGCACATCCAAACGAACTCTAAAGAGTCCTTCTCTGATGTGGAATTATTTCATTTATCGAATTTCAAACTATTCATTTTATCACTTTTTAAAGAAATTTATAAAAAAGCTAATTCGATTTAAAGACTGGTTATTACCAATCTATACGTGTCGACCAAATTGGCAGTTATGATAACAAGTAATATCCTTGTAATAAAACGTTAATTCCTTTTATTTAGATGGATGACTAAATAGTCTCCAAATTGAATGAATTTTCTAGAGATGACTTTTAAATGATAATAAAAAAATGAACCATTCTAATTATGAAGAAAAACTTGTGCGGGCTTTACTGAATGGCACTACAACCAACTCAAAACTCGCCACATGGCCAATCTTCCAATCTTATATATTTTTATATATTTAAAACTCCCATAACTATTTTTTTTTACTAATTATTATACACTATAAGATTAATCTAATATATATATATATATATATATATATATTTTTTTTTTTTTTTCCCTCTTAGATATGCATTTGAGTGTTTAAATTGGAATGCCTTTTAATGCTCTGCTAAGTAACTGAGTTTTTGTAATAATTCAAGTATCTTTTGGAGCAATCAATTATGAAGAAGTGCCATAGTTAGGCAGTCTCCCACAACATCAAGAAGAGGCCAAATACTATTTCCATGATTTTGGAGTTAAATTAGATGTCTGCTTTACAATGATAAAAAACAAAATAGTTGTGAAACAGTATTTTGTGTAAAATATGGATATGTAATCGTTTTTTTTAGTAGCATCGGTCATTTTGACCAAAGGGCATTTCAACGAGACATTTGGAAATTGATAGCTCGTCTTCGTTATGTTCCTTAAATTAGCTATTGTCATAATACTTGATTCAAATATTGTTATTCAAGTATAAATGTTTTCGTAGTAAATCAAATTATTACATTTATAGCAGGAAATGAAATCCCACATCCGTTGTGCTATGATTCAAGCATAAACATCTGCCTCCATTTTGTTGCCCTTGTGACAATATTTTTACGAAGAAAGAAAAGACACAGAGTAGGAAAGAAGACGATAGAGAAAGTTTGGGAAGAAATCAAAAGGTGAGAGAGAAGAGGAAAAAAAAAACTGAACCACTAATTAAACATTATGATGTATATTAATTAGTAGGAAAAATGATTATAGGAGTTTTAAATATAAAAGATTATATTTAAGATTTGCTATGTGGCGAGTTTTGATTGGATTGTATGCCACTCAACAACGTCTAGTGGCAAGCGAAGCCCCACACAAGTTTTTCTCCTAATTATGACATTTGTACGATGAAATAATGTTACGTTAGGAAGAAAGAAGATTTTGCTCCTTAATGGGAAAGAGAAATGTATTACACGAAACAGGTGCAGTCTCGCTCGCTTAGCTGAGTGAGACTGCATCTACAAATTTTTCTAAGGGGCTATGTAGCAAAACCAAATTTCGAGGGGCCAATTTAAGATTTTAAACTTTATAGGGGTCGTTAATCAATTAGCCTCTTATATAAAATCCAAAACCTCAGTGACCCATCCCCAAAAAAGTCGAACCGAGTAAAAGAGCTGCTGCTGCTGCTGCTGCTGCTAGGGTTTCTCTCCGTCTACTCGGCACCGCTCAAGGTTCAGATCTCTCTCTCTCACTCTTTCCCCTTTCATCCTTTCTATTCAGTTCGATTCTTAATCCCCCAAATCTCTAAATTTCGGTATCAATCGCTGTTAATTTCTGATTAAAATTGAAGAATTTGTTGTTTGCTAATGCTTTTTAGCTTGTGATTTCACAGCTTGTATCGAAGAATGTCTCGTGTGTACGTCGGAAACTTGAGTCCTCGAGTTTCCGAGGCAGATCTCGAAGACGAGTTTCGTGTTTTTGGAAATATTAGAAGGTGCTTTGCTGTTAAATTTTTGACCTTTTCGTCTAATTTACTCGCAAATGCTTAAAAGTTTTGTTATTTTTATGGAGGATGATTGTTGATTTTGCAGCGTGTGGGTTGCTCGGAGACCACCGGGTTACGCTTTTGTTGACTTTGATGATATCAGAGACGCTGAGGATGCAATCCGTGGATTAGATGGTATGTTTATGATTGGGCTGTTGGTTGCTTATATGGGGTTTTCGTAGCTAGTTTATATCATTTGAATCCGCCGTAATGGAGAAGCATAAGTTCATGAGCAACTTTTTGTTTGTGAAGAAGCATAATTGAGCTCAACAATGAATGATGGGTTTCTCTTTCGAGATGCATATTAAAATCTTCCTTATGGAACATTTGGTTTTTCATGAATTATGCGTGTTCAACTAGGTCAAGGTTTTTTATTTATATAATGTGGGTCACCTTAGTTTGAATTTCCGAAGTTTTTGCAATGTGAGATTTCTCCATTAAACTAATCCACATCATATAATTGTGTAATTTAGTAGAACAATATTGACACCGTTGCTTGAGTTGGGAGCATTATGTTTTCCTCATCTAGAAGTGTGACTTGTGGTCTTGCTTTTTATGATAAGCTGTTTCTTTCTCTTTGTATTTTCTGTTAATCCTTTTACTTATGTATTCATTGGTAGGTCTTTGGTTCTGAATTTGTTGAACTAGTACAACAACAACAAAGCCTTTTCCCAGGCTAGAATTTGTTGAACTAGTAATTAGTGAAAAATATGTTGGCAAGCTGTCCCTTCCTACTGGAAGGAGAAGGTCTCATGCCCTCTTTGTCAACGATTCATAAGATAGTTTTATTTTAACTCATTTAGAGCAGCCTTCTCATCGGGTAGTTTATATGCTATTTCTCTCTCTTTGTTTTCCGGTGTTTTAAATTTTGGGAGCTGTAAAATGTGTTGATTTATTTTTTGGAGCAGGTAAGAATAACTGGAGAGTTGAGCTTTCACACAACTCTAGAGGTGGTGGTGGTGGTCGTGGTGGAGGTGGTCGTGGCCGCTCTGGCGGTTCTGATTTGAAGTGCTATGAGTGTGGTGAGCCTGGGCATTTTGCTCGTGAATGCCGTCTACGTGGTGGTGGTGGTGGTGGTGGTGGTGGAAGGCGTCGTAGCCGCACCCCTCCTCGCTATCGCAGAAGTCCCAGTTATGGTCGCAGGTGATGTCATTTTGCCAGATATTCGTTACCTAAAATTCATTTTATTTCTCTCTGTAGTTAGGTAGGTAGTTATCAACCAAGTTTTGTGTTCTGGTGTATTTGGTATTGAAAGCTTGCTTTCTGGATGCAAGTTCACAACATATCTTATACTAGCTGTTAATCTAGGTTGGAGATGATTTCTCATATCTAATACCTTTTGACATCTCTCTACTGTTAAGCAGGAGCTACAGTCCTCGTGGGAGATCCCCAAGACGTCGCAGTTTGACACCACGTGGGAACAGCCGCAGCAGGTCCCCACCGTACCGTGGGCGGGAGGAGTTGCCTTATGCCAATGGGTGAGGTTCCTTAATTTTTTTTTTTTTAGCAAAATTATCAAACCCTAGTTCTACAGCATGAAACTGGTTGTGTTGGAAGGATGACTTTCCATTTGATTCATGCCATGATGGTATATGTCCTATGCATGCCTACATTATTTACTGTTCCAAGACTTGGATGGTAGAGCTTGTCAGTAGTAAGGTTGGCATTGCTGATTTGTCCTCTGACATCTGGGTACTGAATATTTGCAGCAATGGTCTGAAGGATCGCCGCCGAAGCAGGAGTTAAGGAGTGCATACATGGCTACCTGGCGTTGTTTTAGAAGATATACTGGGATTAAGTGTTGTTTAGTGTGCTTGGACATCAGCACAACTATGTTTAAATTGGGGGACGCCCTCAGCCTCTACTGTCTCTCTGATTTGGTTAAGTTCCTTCCTTTCTTAACTCTAGCTGGTTTTATTTATCTTTGCAAAATAGGCGTAGGGATAAGGATCTTAAAGGTAAAGTCGTAAACATTATAACTTTGTTTAAGAGTGTTTCTGGGAATGCTGCTAAAACTCTATGCTTTTTTCTTTGCTTTTTGTGTTGAGGTGTCGTCTGCTTCTTCTGCTTCATTGGTTTTGTTCTTCTGCACTCCCTTGGCCCCTGGGATTTTTGTGCTTCACTACTGCCCTGCTCTGGGATCTTCAATTTTGAATGGTTGTCGGTCCCAGCCGGCTAGAGCTTCAATTTTGTGTTTCTGCACTCTCCCGGGGATTTCTTCACTGCCCTGCTACTGGGATCTTCAATTTTTGAATAGTTGTGGATCCCAGCCTGCTATCTGCAGAGCTTCTATTTTCCTTGAACTTCGTCGGTAGCAATGCGCCTCCCTCAAACTAGTGGCATTTGTTTAATTGAGCAGTGGGTTACGCCTCGAATGTTTCTGTTCTACAGAAGTTGGGTTGTTCATAAACGAAGGAGTTGTTTGGATTTTGCTGCTTCTTGAACTTTATATATAAATGAGTCGTTGCGTATGCATACATGGTGCCGCTTTTTAGAGATTTGGTAGTGACAATCGTTTCTCAGACCCAACACCTATATTCTTGCCTTTGATCTTCAATTGGATACAAAAATACAGAAACAAATTTGGTTCCAAGTGAAATCTCGACCACACCGAAACCCTAACCCCTTGTTTTGTTGTTGGATGATTTTATAGCTAATATATACACGCATGACATGTAACATCTCACATTGACCAACGTAGAGAGGGTGATGTGCTTTGTATGTACATGCCCACCTTCATGTAGCATGAGGCATTTTGGGAACTCATTGGTTTCGGATTCCATCGGAACTCAGAAATTAAGCGAGTTTGTGCGAGAGCATACCCATGATGAGTGACCCACTAGGAAGTTTTCGTGTAAATTTGCAGAAACAAAATCGTAAGGGCGTGGTCGGGGCTCAAAGCGGACAATATCATGTTAAGATGGAGTTGATACTGGGATGTGACGTGACAAACTTCTTGATGTATTCTAGTTTTACCAGTTTAAAAAGATGAAAAGGTGTCGAAATATTTGGTAATCTCCCTATGCGTGTCGCACCATTGCAATTATAAAACTTCAAGCCAATCCTGTAAATCTTCACCGTTGAATTGCCCGCAGTTTGAGAGATAAATTTTGATAGAATTTTTTTTCTAATAAATTTGATTTTACAAAAAAGAAAAAAGGATGTGGTTTATTGCATCTTAAAAGGCTTGCAGCTCAGTTGGTAAAAGAGCACGATAAATATAATCGGTTGGTGAAAGAGCGTGATAATATATTCGAGTATGGTCTTCAATGCAAAGCCTGCAGCTGTGTTTGGTGTTTAGTATTTGGTTGGAATGTACTTCTCACTATATTCAATTTAATGTGAAATAAAAGCAAATTGTGTTTCAATTAACTAGAAAGGATAAGTTTTTTTTTTTCATCTCGAATCCGTAAAACGAAAAATCGTTTATCTATATGTTAAATAGACCTTGAATCTCCAATATAATCCAATCCAAATGACACCATATTTTTGCGTATGAGTCCCAAAGTGATGGCGTGTTCGAGTTTTTTGTTTTCTCGTCTAATGCACGCAACCGAATGTCAAGATCGAAGAAGAATTCCTCCTCATGCAAGATGGTAGTCACATTCAAAATCTAATATAAACTTGGGGATGACAAGAAACCCTTTTTTTTTTTTTTTTTGTGAGTTGAGCGACATCATTAGTAAGTTAGATGTTAGATTAGTCATTGACGGAATTCGAATTCTTCGTATAAGGGCATAACACATTTCCACCACTATAGTAAGAGGCCACTTGCATGAGAATAAACTTATAACTCAAATAATTTAGAACATTTATTTGCGCACTCGAAATTTTAAGTTTAATTTTCATCTTCCTAACTATCGTTTAAATTAAAAATAATAATTTAAATTTCAAAATGTAAATTCCTTTTATATTTTGGTGGGCGTCCACTCTCCAAACAGATAATGACCTACGGAATTGAGTTGTAAGGTGAATTAATTAATGATATATGGAGATGGACCTAGATTGTCTGCCGTCCCCCATCTCATTCTCTTCCCATCTTCTTTTATTTTTGTGGTTACGATTAAGTCACGTCAATATTTTATATTAAATTTTTTTTTAAATGTTAACATGGCTTAACCGTGACCAAAAAAATAAGAGAAGATGGAAATGGTATGTGATGGGAGAGCAGACAATCCAGCTCCGTTGTTCATACCAAAACATTAGAAGCATAGCAACGCTGCGTTGTTACTGCACACACGTGTGACATGTTTATTGGTCTACTGTCTAGCCTATCAACAATCCCATCCGTCCACCTGTCTTTATTCAATCAAATTTCAATATGCTTTCAATGTGGAAATGTACGATAGCCATTTTGGGGCACCAATTACGGAGATGAATTATCTGCCCTCCTATCCCATGCCATTCCCATATTTTTCTATTTTTTATGACAGTTAAATCACGTTAACATTTTATATTAATTTTTTATAGAAATAATAAGACAAAAAACAATAAGAATATAAAATGTTGATGTGGCTTAATCGTGACCACATAAATAAGAGGGGATGAGAAGGGCATGAGATAGGAAGGGCAGACAATCCATCTCCACCAATTACACCTTCATTCTTGAACGTAATAGACGACCAGACATGACGCCTTTAATTGTGACAACTCCACCAACATCTTTTTTTCAGTCACAATCCAACTCCGTCAATGCTTATAGTCTTCTTTTTTGTTTATGCGTTTGCTTTTAGTAGAAACGCTTTGTAGAAAATGGTTACATTGATACTTAGTAATGTTAGTGCTTGAAATAGTAACGTTAAATTAAAGTGTAATATACCACCATAACAATGTAAAAAACCGCTTCGTAAGACCCTCAGACTTTTAACTTGGAAATTGTATAAAGTTGTGTAGTTGATAGCAACTTTACCCTCATAATTTCTTGATTCGAGTGGAGCTAGGATTGCATTTCAGATCTGGTTAAATTATCAAAAGACCTTATTAGTATTTAATCAATAATTTGACACAACTGGATCGTGCATCCCTTCCCTCCTCAACCAATTTCAATTGGTGGAAGAAAAAGTCAACCAAAATGTGTGAAGAAAAATCATGGCTAGCAGTTTCTATCTACTAACGTAGAATTTAATACATATTTCTCTCTTGTCTTTAATCGCAACACTCAAGTTCTTTAATCGAAACATCCATGTCCTTCACGTTCTCTCCCTCCCCCAGATTTCTGCACATCTTTTCGTCCCAAAGTTTCAGCCTTGGATCAAGCTTCATCTCTCTCTCTCTCTTAACTTTTCACTTTATATTCATTTAGATTTGCAAACGCTTAGCCATGTTGACTAGTGCAATGCGCTTTCTTTTCACCGAAGTTCGAATCTCTTCTTTGTAATTATATATAATTAGTGAAGAATAACGCTCGTTTAATATATATTTATAGACATATATATTTGTTTGGATTTTGGAAATGTTTCCCATAAAATATGCTGTCGTTGAACTTTTACTTTTCTCGCTTGTTGTTCTTCATTTCACATTTTGGATCCTTTAGTTGCATGTGATGCATATTGATGTTATCAAACTTACAAGCATGGAGTTGAAGAAAGACAAGGTATTAAGGTATTGTCTCCATTTTACAAAACCAATTTCATATTTCACAATTTACTCTCTATTGTTATTTTTTTAATTTTTCTTAATTATTGTGTTTAATTTCATAATTCCAGGTTTTATGATCATGATAAGAAAGATGTTCAGTTTTCCTGGGAAAAAAGTGATATCCAAAAACACTCAGAAGAGCCACTATCTGCATACAAAATATCAACAGCAGCACCCTTGTTAATTCCTGATGGTGGTACTAGTACTACTACCGGAGTTCGAACTAATAAAACTCCGAGATTTGGGAGTTTTAAGGTTTTCTCAGAGAACCAGGAGCCACGTAAGAAGCAAATTCTTGATCCGGGAAGTGACATTTTCCTGCAATGGAACAGGGTTTTTCTCTTTTCTTGCTTGGTAGCCTTGTTCGTTGATCCGCTTTTTTTCTACCTCCCTTCGGTGCAAAATGACGGTAGTTCATCTTGTATGACAACTGATTTGAATTTAGGAATTGTTGTGACGTTTTTTCGCACTCTCGCGGACATGTTCTATCTGTTGCACATGTTCATTAAGTTAAGGACAGCTTATGTATCCCCGAGTTCGAGAATTTTCGGGAGGGGGGAACTTGTTATGGATCCAAAGAAGATTGCTCGAAGGTATTTGAGAACGGATTTCTTCATAGATCTCATAGCTACACTGCCTCTCCCTCAGGTGCAATAATCATCACCATAATTATATTTTTACATTGATATATGCTCTTTCTTTTTTCAACTTTCTATGATCTCCTCGAGATTTTTCGTTCTGTATGGTAATTTTAGACAACACCGCGCCTCATGATTTGTTCATCGTATACTTTTTTCTCTGTTTTTAATCCGATTCCTTCGATTTTATTAGTTCCTGCAACAGTTCTGGAAATAACAATGCTATTGCTTATATTCTTTTTTTGCAGATTGTGATATGGTTTATTATACCTGCAGTTAGAAGCTCACATGCTACCAATAATGCCCTTGTACTGATTGTACTTCTTCAGTATATTCCTAGACTCTATCTTATTTTCCCATTAAGCTCTCAGATCATCAAAGCCACTGGTGTAGTCACAAAGACCGCCTGGGCGGGGGCTGCGTATAATCTCGCACTCTACATGTTAGCCAGTCATGTATGTAATGCAGCTTCTTTTGTTTACATGCAATTTATCAGTTTAGTTCAGATTGTCCTTCAGAACTCACAGTAACGAACGCTAGAACAATGTCTGTCGTTGTAGATCTTAGGGGCATCGTGGTACTTGTTGTCCATTGAACGGTATGCAACGTGCTGGAAGTCTGAATGCCGAAGGGAATTCAGCCCCATGAAGTGTTTTCTCAGCTACTTGGATTGTGGTAATTTGAACAATGATAACCGCCGGACGTGGTTGAACAGTACTCTAGTGTTTAGTAACTGCAATCCGGAAACCAGCACCAGTTTCAACTATGGCATATTTGCAAATGCACTGACGAAAAATGTCGTCTCCACGGGGTTTCTTGAGAAGTACTTCTACTGTCTTTGGTGGGGTTTGCAGAACTTGAGGTATGATCATCAGTACATGGTTCTGATATAATCTGAAATTTGATCAACATTTTCAGATTCTGATATAATCTGTTTTAATATATCTCAGCTCCTATGGTCAGAATTTGAGTACAAGCACATTTATCGGGGAAACGTCATTTGCAATACTAATTGCAATCTTGGGTTTGGTTCTGTTTGCTCACTTAATCGGAAATATGCAGGTGCGGATGATGAAATCTGTTCACTTTTCTGCAGTTTAAAACAGTAAGTAATTTTTTAGTTTTGTAAAAGATATGTTTTCGATATAATGCAGACCTATTTGCAATCGATCACGTTGAGACTTGAGGAGTGGAGGCTCAAGCGGCGAGACACAGAGGAGTGGATGAGACACCGTCAACTCCCCCAAGATCTGCAAGAGCGCGTTAGGCGATTCGTGCAGTACAAGTGGGTTGCCACTCGAGGGGTTGATGAAGAATCAATCTTACATGCCCTGCCTACTGATCTTCGTCGAGATATCCAACGCCACTTGTGTTTAGATCTTGTTCGACGCGTAAGTGCCTTCTCTGATCATGAGACAGGAATGTTGATACTGATTGATCATAGTAAAGCAAATTCTAATGAGTAACGCTTTTCGCTTCAATTGTGTCATCTTCAGGTCCCATTTTTCGCACAGATGGACGGACAACTACTTGACGCCATATGCGAGCGTTTGGTATCCTCATTAAGTACTCAGGGCACGTACATTGTTCGCGAAGGCGACCCTGTCACAGAGATGCTTTTCGTTATCCGAGGGAAACTAGAGAGCTCCACAACAAATGGAGGCAGGACAGGTTTCTTCAACTCAATCACTTTGAGGCCCGGCGATTTTTGTGGAGAAGAGTTGCTTGCTTGGGCATTGCTTCCCAAATCAACCCTCAACTTGCCTTCTTCCACAAGAACTGTTAAATCCCTCGACGAAGTAGAAGCCTTTGCGCTGAGAGCAGAAGACCTCAAATTCGTCGCGAATCAGTTTAGGCGCCTCCACAGCAAGAAGTTACAGCACACGTTTCGTTTCTACTCCTACCATTGGAGGACCTGGGCTGCATGCTTCATTCAGGTAGCGTGGCGGCGGTTCAGGAAGAGAATGTTGGCGAAGAACCTTAGCATGTCAGAGTCATTCTCGTACAATTACGACAAACACGACGAAGAGGCTGATGATACTGAAGAAGAAAAGGAAGAGTTTTCTAGTGGTAAAGAAACTTCGAATACTTTCCAAGTGAGACAGAATCTTGGTGTCACAATTTTGGCTTCAAGGTTTGCTGCAAACACTAGGAGAGGAGCTCAAAAAACCAAGGATGTTCAGCTGCCGAAGTTGCTAAAACCTGAAGAGCCAGACTTCTCAATGGAGCCAGAAGATGACTAGCTCACATCAAAACTCTCAGCCAATCGTCCAAATTGTTGAAGAAACCTATCTTTCACCATGAATCCTTTGTAAATTCTTGTTCCTCTACCTGTCTTTCAAGTGTCGTTGCGTGGTCACGTAGTATTAACAAATTACTTACGTTCTAACAAGCAAAATACCATCTGGTGTTCCAAATATGGTTAAACCCGGTACTCCTTCCAATTTCCATATATAGTTATCGCTACTCAAGAAAAACCAAAATCAAAGCATAAGAAACCATATGGAATGTTGGGAGCGGCAGCCAAAGGCCAAATATTTAAAATTGCTGTAAACCAAACAAACTCCACAAATCCACACTACATCCCCATGTCGGGTCCAAACCCGCAAACCCACACCATTAGCCAAAATTTACATAAAAAAATGGCAATTTCGTGATTAAAACCGAATCCCCCCTCCTTCCCCCACCCGAGCTGCACTCCTAGTTTTATTTTCGATGAGCCTCCACATCTGCAATCCGCTTTGCGGGCTTGCTCTTCCTCTGTTGATATTTGGCAAACGAGTACCAAACTCCGCCGGCTGTGTTGATAACCAGTCCAGTCACATTCAAAACATGTACTTGCACGCCACCCAGTAGTACAAAACCGAGAGTCTGAGAAACACGTATAAACAAACTTTCACACAAATATTTGTATTGAAATAAAACTTAATTTCCACAAATCGTCATTTAATCTACGAAAAAGAAGAGGTAGTTCAGGCATACCGTCGACCCAACCCCTTTTAGGACTCCAACGATGGTTGTTGTTAGAGCGGAGTTGACTATCGTACATAAGAACATGGTGAAGTTGAGAACAATGCCCATGATAAATGAAAGAATGAGGATCACCAAAAAGTACAAGGAATTACTCTGCAAATAAAGAAAATTACATGTCAGTCATAGACTCATATAATGTATGAAAGTTGTAAGAAAGAAGAACAGCAACTCAGTGCCACAGCAATAAGCCCCAGGTCCCCCAAGAAATTTTTTGCATGGTTACTAACTATATGGGCGGGCAGCAACGCATTGCTTTGTCCAACTGGAATTTATAAGTTGAAAGCCATTATCGGACATGATTTTATGCTATTTACTAGTTATCTTCTTTTATCGAAAATTTGGATAAGAAATGCCTGGTACTAGATGTCAAAGACAGTAATCCATTTCCCGAACAATTTAAGCAGCCAAGGATCTACAAATAGTCCCAAATAAATAAATAGGAATGAATTCAAATACATAAATAAAGAAAAGGTTAAGGTTCTGACCTTTGCAACTAGTAATGATAAAGAATTTGGAAATTCTCCGGTAGCTACAATGAGAAGCATCAAAAACGGAAGAGACAGAAAGCTGTTATAGTACATGATCTCAACTGATGATAGCCCATCTTCAGCACCAGATTTCTCCACCAACACAAGGTACATGGTCTGAATAAAAAATGAAGTTCTTGTATGAGCTTAATTACTATAACATACCATTCGAAACAAGTATAACACAGAACCGTGGATGAACAAAAACATCATCATCTTACCTGGAAAAAGACAGAAGTGAGGGCCATGCTATATCCAAAAAGGTCAAACGAAAAATCTCCAAGTGCAGCTATCAGAACCCCAACTGCAGTCAATATTACTGAAAGACACACCTGAAGCGTGAAAGAGAACTGAGTATTGCTGAACCTAAATCACGGTATCATCAAATTTAGTGGTAATGAAAATGCTTTTTGTCAGGACTTTCACACTATATTTCTCATCTTCTCTGAATAACTTTGCATTTTTAACAAAAACTACGACGGGTGATTATTTGAAATCAAGCATCCTTTATCTTCACTTAATAAAGTCAACTTAATAAGGAAGCTATCGCTATGTCACAAGATATATTGTTCCTAATATGGATGCCAAATATAGATTTGTAATCTTAGTTATCATCAAGCAGGTCAAAGCTGTCATCATGGAGACATCTCAAGCACCGACAAAATGACAAGTCCATAATAATTTGAATCATCCAAAATATCTTAGCTTATGAATTTCAGACCACTAAGCCCGAACCAAGAGAAAGCATAACAAAGAATAATGTAAATCCAGCTTCCATTTTACGCTTACAGTGTTAGTCAAATCGTGCATGTTTCTTCCGAAATTTTCACATCATATGTTTCGAAGACTAAAAGTACTTTGCTCTCGTTACAGAACAAGTTTCGTTTTCACTTACATTAATACTAAAGAAAACAGATTAATAACTAATCCTATCGTTAAGTGTAATAACCTGTATTGAGGGTCTCCCCTTCCCTGAGAAGAATCCAGCTACAAGCACAGCAAGCGGTGTGAGTCTTTTGATTGCAATATACATGGGAATATTAACTCCCTTCAAACTGGCCAATGCAAACGCCACATTAGCATTATAGAAAAGCGACACAGGGAGAAGCTTTTTCGCAGTGGACATTTCTAATCCTCTTGATCTCGTGTATCCAAATCTTCGACCAACATATATAAGCAAAGCAGTTGCCAATTGCTAAGACAATAAACAAACGAAAGAAGGCTCATTATGCACAACCAAGCAGAAAACACATGCAAATTACAAGGACAATAAGGAATCGAAAGACGGGTCCTTGTGCACAATCAAGGAAGGACATCTCATTCTCATGGAAATAAAAGACTGACATTCGTATTCTTAAAGTAATACCTGCATTGTGAGAAGGGTCATGGAGTGTGAGTACTCCATAATAACCGCTTTATTGATGAAAACCATCGCCATGGAAGCAGCCCCATACGACAAGGCCGCGGACAAACTGCATTCAAATTTCAAACACAACAAGACTGAGGAAATCAATCGACAATTTTTCGATTCAAGGCATCGAAAATTCGCAAACATGTATGCACATTAACATATAAAACATGTCCCTTGCTTACATTTGTAATCATCAAGCCAAAATCTTTCTAAAAGTAACATAAACCCAATAGAAAACAAAGTAGGATGGATAGAAAGACAACCTCAAAAACGAGCTAGCTTCTGTCTCAATACATTTCTCCATGGCCAAATCTAAGCTTCAAAACACAAATCCTCTGTTTTCGGATCAGTGTCAAATGAGCTCAGTGGCAGCTAAGTCCCAAAATTACATGACAAATCTGATGAAAGAAAACACTTGGGTTTTTTTTCTTGTTTGGCCAAAAACCTGCAAATCGAATAAAAAAAACCCAAATCTGGAAAATTGGAAAGAAAAAAAAAAACAGGGGATGGGATTGGATTGGACCCAGGATAGAAGAACACGAAACCGATCCAATTCGAGAGTAAATAGGATCGAATGAAACCTGGATTTGAGTTGGGTTTTTGGATCAAGGAGAGAGAAAGGAAGTCCAGGAAGTGGAGTGAGGAGTGTGTAGAGAGGGAGAGAGTAAAACAAATTGGAGGGGAAGGAGAGAGAGTAACGGAAATGAAGCAAAGGGAATGGGAAAATTGGGAAAGTGAGAAATGGGAAATGTGAGTCGAACCTCCAACGTGCCATGGATGGGGGCGAAAGGCATACCAAAACGTGATTGGGTAAAAGATTGGAGCGTTGGGAAGCTCTGCCTTTTGAAATTTTACCTTTGTGTATTGTCGGTTGCGAATTCGATAAAAATCTTTTTAACATCTTTTGTCGGGATAGAATACTTTTCTGATAATACTACACTTATTTTTACTTTTTACATATATTTTTTTAACTTTTAACTGTTAAATTTAATGAATTGAAAAAAAATTAATATTAAAAAATTAACAAAAATGGATAAAAGACAAAAATAGATGTGTAAATTGTCAGCTAGTGTTAAAATATCACTTGTACTCTGTTTCCACATTTGAGTAGAGAAACCTATTTTGTAACTTATAATTTAGCATTTCATGCTTATTATTGAAAATTTGTCATGTTATGTATCTTTTTACATAGTAAAAAGTGGATTGTTTTGATAAATAAAATAATTTTAATAGATAGATAAATAAAATATTACACAGTAAAAGATGCATAAATGCGGAGGGGACTGCCGCCTGGCGTGGATCCTTTTTGTGGGGATTCTGGAAATCTTCAAATCACATTTATTTATCATATATCTTGCAATAAGAAATTATTGTAATTTTTTTTATTTAAAATTAAATATAAACAGTATATGACAAAAACTGATCGCACATGTAATTTAAGGATCCCAGTCCTCACAAAGAGGATCCGGCGAGGATCCTCTCTCATGGAAGAGAAGGGAGAAGCTGGAATTGTCCCGTAGGATCCAATCCAAGTCCAAAATGTCCAATAGATAGATGAAAGGAAACTTTCCATGAATTAAAAGACTATTAATTTATCTTTTTTTTTTTTTTTGGAAGAACTCTTAATTTATCTGTTAGGTAAAATGCTTGCAGTACTATTTCTTACATGCGTTAACATTAACCAAAATCTGACACTCAGAATACATCATCGAAAAGAAAAGAAAAACTAGAAAAATGGAAAAAGGAAGAAGAAGCTGCCATTTTCCAACTCCCAGCAGATCTGTTTTTCACCTTGCTGAAGCTCTTGCACTCATGGATGAGTGGTAGTTGGTGCTTCTCTGTTTCCTGTAAGAAGAATAAACATCGTCGTACTGGCTTGCCTCATTTGGATTAGCTGTGGCCCCTAATCCCAACCTTCCCGAGCCACTCTTTCTATCTACACTTCCATCAGCATAAGCCCCCGTCTCGGGGTCCATCTGCAGGTTTGGGGGTGGAGGGATGCAAGCTCCACCCTTGCGCTCCGCAGGCTCTCTTTCATAATCATCCTCATCCCTACCATCGGAATCATGAAGGGGCCCTTCAGAAGGGTTAACTTCTCCAATCTCCTTGAAGAATTTCGACACTCTCTCAAGAATTTCTGACTGAGGAACAGTAGATGGAGGTATAACGGTTGGAATGTCCAAAGGGCTCATCGGTGAGTATGGTACACCACTGCCAATCTGCATCTTTCTGACCATCTGAGGAATAAGACCAGGTGGGAACAACGGATATGGTGGCAACTTCTCACCGCTACTAGCAGGTTGACCTAACAGTAAATGGGGTGTGGGTTGTTGGTTTGCTGGTTGAACGGAAGATGGTATGGGCATGGACCCAGGAAAAGAAACAGGAGGGACTGAATTTGGAAGAAATTGCTGGGATGGCAGAGACAGTGGCATGCCTTGGCCAGGAACTGCATGTTTATCAAGGTGATCTTGATCATGGGAACTGGAAACAGAGCTTTGTGTATCCGGCTGCCATTGAAATACGTTATGATTTGTTGTTTGTGGTGGCAATCCTGCATTCAAGATAAAGAAAAAGATAATTAACGTATAGGCCACACCAGTTTATTAAGCCCTGTCGCCTGAAATTTAGTAGCCTAGGCCCTAGACATACACACAACACAGAAGCCTACTGCCTACCTGCTACTGAATCTGCTGAAGCAGTGGATAAGTCTTTTGGAAGCCCCGTAAAAGAATTACTTGATGGTCCACCAAGCATCTCATTCCTTAGTGCATCAATAGTATCCTGATCATAAATGTTCTTAGAAGCCCACAGCTGTAAAATTTGCTGCAACTTCAATTGACTGTCCTCTGTGATTTGGGGGTTGTGATAAATCCTTGCAAGCATGGAACCTAAGATAGGTTTGAGTGCATGTGATTCATTATCAAGGCCTTCACCAGTCCGCCGATGCGAGCTGTAAATTCAAAGGCAAAGAAAGGACTGTCAAAGAATTATTTGCACTACATCAAGCATCTGTGTCAAAGAAAACAAAAAGGTAAACAAAAACAGAAACCTCTAACTTCTTTGCTGACACTATCACCATAAACTCAGAAAACTAGACTCGAGGCTAGATATTAGAAGGATTATAGTGCGCATAAACAAAAATAGAGCCTTTTAGGTGTAAAAGACGGAGCTTTAAAAAAAAAGTTATGACAAAATTATAGATGATCTGTTGATCTGCAAACCTGTGGCAACAGAAAAAGGCATATATAAACCCAGAAAGGTTCACCCATCCTCCCTGTGAAAAAAAGTAACTTTTTTTTTCGGTGGTTTTCCACAGCTAGCACCCGTCAAAACACCCGGCCCCCCAAACTCCGTCTGTTATACCGATACTTGAAAATTGGACAATGGTGAGCATCGGATACCTACACCCCCACGAAACCTTCCAATATGTATCGGATACTCCATTTGGAGTATCATTGACATTTTTGTGGGGTTGACTATAGGTTACTTCTCGGATGCTCCAAAGGATATGGTCAAGATACTCCTAAAGTATTAATCTTGAATAAAGTTAGAAATTCAGGTTGTAGTTTCTAAATTCCGTTGTTTTTGTGGGTTTGGTAGACTCACCAGGACATTATCCCTACATAATAGCACAAACATGTTCAAAGGCGTTTTTTTCACACAATGGAAAACAAACATCACCCAAGCACCAACCCATTAACTGTGTTGTTAGGAAGTGTGAGCTATAACAAATAATGGGATTAAAGCTTTCAATGATTTAATGGAAATATGAGTGACAGTCATCCATATTTATAAGAAATTAACAAGACAATTACACAAGCAACTGTTTCCAGAAAACATGCCGCCGCAGCTCAAAAAACAAAACTTTATCTTTTCAGACTTGCATTACTCTAACCAAAAACATACCAAGCAAAAGCAATAAAGCAATAACTTACAGTTAAGCGAGCAAAAACAAACAAGAATTCTGCAATTACCACGAATGATTAATGCGCCATTAGAATTACCTTTCAAACAAAATATCATTTGTAAGGTATATCACATGAAGCTGCCTCTCAGAATCATCCAAGCCAAACAGCCTCTCCCGAAGAGCCTCAGCCAATGCCGGCGCGAATATCGACCGCTGCATAAACCAAAATTTTGCTCCTTTAATCGACTCTTTGGTCCCATTCAACGTCATAAGCACATTATTGAGCTCCATTGCAACCTCAGAGGGAAGCGGTCCCGAGAGCCCCTTGAAGGGCTTGGAGGGTGACTGGTCGTAGTCCGCCCGCCCATAAACCCCGAATGGCTGCCCGTGCCGCTGCTGCTCGTAGAAATACGGCGGCGGAGGCCCTCCCATCATTGCCGCAGATGGCGGCGCGTTCATCATTGGGTTTGGGGGCGGGCGTAGCATGTGCATCGACCCGGATGGGAATCCAGCCGGGTTAAAAGACCCGCCCGGAGCCCGGGTTGATAGCCAGAGCTTGTATCGGTAATAGCCGTGGCCTTCGCCGCCGAACAAGAAGGCGTAATCGGGATTGTCCTGCTGCTTCTCCCGGATCATGGCTTCGAACTCCGGGCCGTTCTTGGCGGAGTACTCGACGAGCTTGTCAATCCGTTTGTGAAGCTCCGGGTCAGAAGGAGGAGCCGCCGGCGGAGGCTGGGGAGAGTCGTAGGTGGGCCCGGCGTGGAAGGGTGATGGGACTAACGGAGGGGGGAGGTGGGGAGCGAAGGACGGAGGAGGTAGGTGGTGGGGGTGCGGCGGCGCATGGGGAAGGACCTGCGGCAGCCCGTGGGGATGATAAGGGAATTGTTGCTGGAGGGAGGGGTGGGGACCCACGAACTGCGGCGGGCCACCGTGTAACTGTTGGGTTTGGGGCGGGTACCCGAATTGCTGCTGTTGGGGCGGTTGTTGTTGTTGCTGCTGCTGCTGTTGAAGGCTGGTGGCTGCCTGGCGCTGTTGGGCGTAGGCCATGGCGGAGTAGTCGTGAGGCTGCCGATCCATTGCCGCGGTGAGTGTGAAAACAGTAGGAAGCTGAGTTGTTTGTGAGTGATTTATAGATTTGCCTCGAAGACTGTCCCTCTCCTTTTTCTATGAATCCCTAATTTGATTTGATTTCGCTTTCGCCAATTTGATTTGGGGGTGTTGGGGAAAAATTTCAAATCCACTGCTTTAGGGCTTCTTCTAACGACTCTTGCCAAAAAAATTTCTATATCGAATAAGAAACTTCCAAGATTATTTCCCTCCTTTTTTTTATCCCCTTACTTAATTACTTTTGTTAATGTGAAACAATTTTTAACTTTGAGTGAAGGATAATTTTAGAGAATTATGAAGGAGTTTAACATTTGTGGATAAGTCAGTTGACAAGGGCATCGTGTCGTGTTTTTCTTTTGCAATTGAATTAAATTTTACTATTTTGAAATGAGAATAATTTTTGGTATTGTCTTGTAAAAAACGATGACTTAGCAGCACGGTTTTATGTTGTTTCACAAAGAATTTTGAAGAGGGATTAAAATTGCTCATACAGGTCCATGTTTGAGATCCAAGGCTTGGGTCAATTGAACATATATGGTTATGGTTCAACATTTAAGGTTCATGTTGGAGGGTTGTGATTCAAATACAATGATATAGTTTTATGTGACTTAACGATGAGTGACATAGTATTTCAGTTTAGTGTTTGAACGTAAGAGTTGATTGTTCTGATGGTTAAAATTTTTCTCATCAAATCATTGTTTAAGATAAGAATTTGAACTAACAAGTGCCAAATAACAACTTTTAGTGACATATAAGTTATAACAAAACATGACATTAAATTAATTAATTGCACGAGAAAGACGAGTCCCGCTATCCGCTGCGGGCATGTAGCAAGTAATTAATTCTGCCACAAATGGCCCATAAATATTGGAACAGAATTTGAAGCCAACTATGTACCCGAATCCGAAAACCTGCCCTAATGTACCCGAATCCGAAAACCTGCCCTAAAACCCTTCGATCAAAACCCTTGTTTCGTAACCGCTCTCTCACACTCACTCTCTCTCTCTCTCTCTCTCTCTCTCTCTCTCTCTCTCTGACTGTATAACAAAACATTCGAAACTCACTCTCACTCGTTTACCTTTGTTTGCGTTAAGCAAATGAAACTGGCATGGCGATGATACATTTTCAACGGCTGTCCACCGCCCCCGCTCCCGCCACCGCTTCCTCCTTCATTTTCTCAAACACTTTTGCTGCCTCCGCCCTGTGTCTCCGCCGCTCCATGGCCAAGGTTCCCACTTTTCCCTTTCAGTTTTGATACTCTCTGTTATTTCCATCTTCTGGGATTTCTTCAATTTCATGCATTTCCCAGAAGGCCAATTTTTTCAAGTGATTGTACTTATTAGGGGATGTTTTGGTTGTTGGAGAATTGAAGTTTGAAGCTTTTTTTCACTTGGAATGGGACGTTTTGTCGATGAATTTTAATATTATGCATAGATTCTTGTTCGGTTTGATTAAATTATCTTGGTTGTGCTAAGTAACTAATGCAACACGGGATATTCGGAAATTTTTTTTGTTTGTGTGTGTGTGTAATGTATATGTGTGTTTTTGTGTCAATGTGTGTGCCAAATTTGCCAAAGTATGCCGACTCCCGGAAAATCTTATAGTGACGTGCAACATTTTGGTGTTACAGCTGCAGTGGAGGGTGTTTGAGGCTTATTCATGCGCTTGCTTACCATCTTCGTCAAATTTGACAACGAATGTATACAGAAATTATAGGTTAAATAAGTCCGGAGTTTCTTGCATGATCACGGCCAACCATTCAAAGTTTGGGCCAAATTTTCATCCTTTCAGAAGAAGTGGCGATGGGTCTGAATGCGCTTTTACATTTCATTCTCATCTTAAACATGGTTCGCTTAATTTTTTAGGGCCTGCTGGTATTGTCAATTGTGGCTCTTTTAAGAATAGTTGCAGATTGGGTTTAACTAATCATAGTGCTGGAGCTTTTCCCAAGAGGTTTTTCTCTCAAGTTCCATCTGTGATAAACAAAGGAGAGAGTGTGGGTGTCCAAGATGGTAGGAATAGTGGAAATACGTTTTTTTTCAGAAGGCTTATTAAATGCAAGAAACGGATAAAGGCATTGGCAGCTCAAAGCAAAACCAAAGCTACTGATTCTAGTATCTCTAAAGATGTTGAAGTAGAAGCCTTAACCGAACAGCAAGTTGGAAGTGAGAAGGGGGCTGGAAAATTGGGATCTTTGTGTTCTAGTTCTCCTATAAGAAATGATACCCGGGTCTCAAAAGTCAAAGGGAAAAAGAGGTCGAAGAGCAAGAAAACTAAAGAACAAATTTCTGCTGCAAATCCTCCAGCAGAAGCTGCTATGTCACAAAGTTCTAAGGTTACTTCTCAACCAAAGAAATCTGGTGGTACCAAAAGTGGCAAACAGTCGGCGGAAGTTTCAGAGGTTAGCAAATAGCAACTATAAATTTTTTAGTAGAATTAGGATTGAATCTTATCATCACATTGCAATATTTTAACTAACACTGCAGTCTTTCAGTTGAACCTCACTGCGAAAACTCCCGTGGAAATTGTTGATGTTTCTTCAACAAAATCCCAGCCAAAGAAGAAAGGTGGGAACTCTTTTAGAAAGGGAAAATTAATAAATTCAGATACTAAGTCGCCACAGAAACTTATACCACAAAAAATAGGCAAAATGAAACCTCATGGGAAAATGACACTGAAGCAGTTGTACCCCGCAACTGGGAAAACTGTAGTGGTGGTGGAATCTGCTACAAAGGCGAAGGTTATTCAGGGTTATCTTGATGATATGTTTGAAGTTCTTCCTAGCTATGGTCATGTAAGGGACTTGGCTGCTAGGTCTGGATCTGTACGGCCTGATGATGATTTTAGTATGGTGTGGGAAGTTCCATCTGCCGCCTGGACTCATCTAAATAGCATAAAGGTTGCACTAACAGGGTATGATTTCTTATCATTTTCATTCAGATCCAATTAGCCACAAACTACTAACAATACTAGCTGCTAATGTATAGGAATGATATTGAACTTTCCATCATAAGTATTTCTCTCTTAATTTCATTTTGGGGCGATGTTTCTGAATTTCTTATTTATCTCACCTTCATCAGAGCAGAAACTCTTATTCTTGCATCAGATCCTGATCGTGAAGGAGAGGCTATTGCTTGGCATATTATTGAGATGCTGCAACAACAGGATGCTTTACGTGAAGATGTTACTGTAGCCAGGGTTGTTTTTCATGAAATCACTGAGGCCTCTATCAAAAGCGCGCTGCAAGCTCCAAGAGAAATTGATGAGAACTTGGTCCATGCTTACCTTGCACGGCGTGCACTTGATTATTTGATTGGATTTAAAATTTCACCACTGTTGTGGAGGAAACTACCAGGTTGCCAGTCTGCGGGGCGAGTCCAATCTGCTGCACTGGCTCTTCTGTGCGATAGAGAAATGGAAATTGATGAATTTAAACCACAGGAATATTGGACTACTGCGGTTGAATTGAAGAAAAAAGAAAAGGATTCATCAGTTAATGCTCCATCCTTCCCAGCATACTTGACCCATTATGATTCCAAAAAGCTAAATCAATTTTCTATCAGTTCTCATACCGAAGCAAAAGAAATTGAACAGCAGATTAATTCAGAAAATTTTCAAGTTGTTAATTCTAAGAAAAACAAAATGCGGAAGAATCCTCCCACGCCGTATATAACATCCACACTTCAGCAGGATGCTGCCAACAAATTACATTTCAGTGCAGCATATACAATGAAGGTGCGCTCGTGAGAGCATTTATCTTCTGATTTCCTCCATCTAAAGAGCATTTATCTTCACGTTCCTCTTCTGTTCTAGCCACTAGTTTTTTCTTTGATTCAGTTAATCTTATGATTTCATCCTTTGAATTGAAAACTGTATATATACCTTTTTATTTGCTTTAAGGATATGCATCGTATATATACACATACAAACACTTGTCTGGCTAATGGAAGATACATTATATTTGCAGCTTGCACAGAAACTTTACGAGGGGGTTCAGTTATCTGATGGTAAAGCAACGGGTTTGATCACATACACCCGAACAGATGGACTACATGTATGTATCTTTTTGCACAAAAACTTGATTGAGTTTCTTGTCTTCTAGTTAATTATTTTCATAACTGAACTGAACTGCTCTTGTGGAATGGTATGTATTGTTTAAAATTCCTTAGTTGCAAATTGGTTTCTTTTATACTGCACAATGTAAAAAGATGAATTTTATGGGGTAGTGTTTGTCTAAGGCTGCTAATTTTCTATTGAGTTTGCTCAGGATTATAAATGTACTTCGTTTCTTTGTGATGATAACTACTACAACGTATGCTGATTGTTTGCACATGTGCGCATGATTTACACTGTCTCAATGATTCGTATAAAATTCATTTCTAGTTGAGAGTGATATCTATCATTATTTCTAATACTGATGGCTTTTAATTTCTTCAGATTTCTGATGAAGCCTGTAAGGATGTGCGCTCCTTGGTCATTGAAAGGTGCTGCAGATAAATGTCAAGATGGCTTCTATTTTATTTGGAATTTAAATTTAGATGTAATGCTAAACAATGATATGCATGTTCATGTCTTTATGCTGTCATTTTTTTCCATGATGCAAGTGTATTTTCCCAGGGTCCTGAACAAGTAGTTTCATGTTTTTATTCAATCCAGAAAGGTTCTAATATAATTTATGCTTATTTCAGCCTACAATTTCAAAACTTATAGTTTTTTAGCTTTTAAGGTTTGAAATTTAATTTGCCCAGTTTTTGGAATCACCATTGGCCTAAAGCATTGAGAGTGAGAGCTTAAAATGACTTATAGTTTCAAAACTTAGTTCATATAAATACTTGTTCCCGTAATGGAGTGGTGACCTATGAGTTTCCGCTATTTGTGGTTATACTTATGCAATGAGATCTATATGTTTTCCCTTTAAAACAATATTCCTTTGATGCAGGTATGGACAGAATTTTGCATCAGAAAGTGCACGCAAATTTTTTAAGAAAGTGAAGAATTCCCAAGAGGCCCATGAAGCAATCAGACCCACTGATGTTCGAAGATTGCCATGTAACTAAACAATTTTGCATGCTACGTGAAAATTTCTACATTTTTTTAAAGCAAGTTTTTCAGATGTACAATTAATCTGTTGATAGGCTCATTCTAGTGAACTGACTATAAAATTTTCTTCTTGGAATCTAGCATTGCTCCGCGGGGTACTTGATGAAGATTCCATGAAGTTGTACACTCTTATTTGGTGTCGGACAGTGGCATGTCAGATGGAGCCTGTTACAATTGAGCAGGTTAGAATACAACATTATGAAAATTCTTCTCTTTTAATTGATGGGAACAAACAGGCTGCAAAAATAACTGTTACTATCCATTGGTCAACATTGCAATAATGCAGGCTGCCAATTTCTGTTTTCTCATATGAATAATTTATTTTCTTATGTAAAAAATTAATTATTTCCATGCTGTTTCTTCTTTTTTGACAAGTAGTTGCATTTCTAGAATATCTTTAATATACGTTACTGTACTTTGTTGTACACTGTAGTTCCACTGTCTTCAAACTATGTTTTTTATTTTTATTTTTTTATTATCTTATAAAGTTCAGTATGTGCGTGTGCATCTGAACTGTCATCATAGTGGGAATACAGTAATTTCCAGCTTATGAGTAACACTGCGTATTGCCTTGATAGCTAGGAATGTTAAAAGTGCATTTTATACCACGTTAGGATTGCTTGTCTATTTGTGCTACATAACATAAATCGACTTTACTTTGTTATGCAGTCATCATCATGTTTTCTATTTCTCAGAAAAAAAGGCTCACAGTTGTTATGCATTCTTAAACTGGAATAGAGGGTGAAATTAAGAGAGGAAAACACAGTTTGCTTCCTATCACTACGGATTTCAGGGAGATCTAATTGGATGATGCTATTTAGAACAATTCCTAGGTGTTAGCATATACTTTGCTGAGAAGAGTACAAGTGACTGAAATTTAATTTATTCAAAGTTTAATGCTAAAACTCTGGTTCTCATAGGTTATAGTGCAGAAGCAACACATTCTTTGTCAAAAAGAACATTAACTTGTTGACTTTTCCTCATATCCTTGTTCTTACGTTCCATTCATACATATGTAATGCAAATTCATCATCTCTTGCCTTATTCATTTCCCCATCAATGTACCAGATACAACTCAATATTGGAAATGCTCACAACTCCATTGTTCTCCGCTCTTTGTCCTCAAGGGTTGAGTTCCCTGGATATCAGGCAGTCTTGGAGGTATAATTCTGTTTTCCATCTTAATGTTGTTGTAAACATATGCATTTGGCTCATGTGCCACCGTCATAACACCTTTACATTTCTAAAATTGTGTCGCTGAAACTGGAGGGAATCCTTGAGTATCAGTAAACTGAATCGATTCTTGTTATGGTAAACAATGGAATCTTTTTAATGTTTCTCAGTTATGGCATGACTTTGCTATTTTTTTCTTTATAAGGGGATACACTTTAATACCCATGAAATGTTCAAATATTGCTACTTATACGAGCTTATATGCCGGTTTAACTTTTGGTGTCATGAACTTATCATATCTATTAGTCATAGGATCCAAATTGGGAATTGCACAAATCCATATAATTGCAAGTTATTATTTGTTTTTAAAAGGCAGTTCTTATGTCTGGATTTGGAAAGTAAATAGCCTCTTATTCATGTAGCTTAACTTTTATGTGATTGATTTGGTGCCATATCTTAAATTTGCACTTTGTTGCATGCTTTTATGTGAGATTTTGAGCGTGTTTAATTTCTAATTTTTAGGACATGGAAGCTCAAGCAGTCAAATATAAAGAACATGAAGGGAACAGTCATGACGAAGCTTTTGTACTTCTTAATTCATTGAAGGTAAATTTGGACTCCTATTTCCCCCACCCACATATGCTCAAATACACATGCCCTGTCTTAATTTCAAGATAAGAGCCTATGGTATTGAATACAATGTGGAACCATATATGGCTCTTAGCCTGTTAGCAGGTGGTATGGCACGTTTAGTTCACAAGGACAACATATAACTCTTATTCAGTTCAATTTCATACGAGATTTATCCTTTTTTTTTTTAATCTTTGAATGTTTGTAAAAGTTTCCTTGATGTGCCAGCGTTGTTTCTTGATTAAGTGTTTTATTTTGATTCTGTAGTATGGGGATCCATTAGATATTGGTAAAGTGGAACTCAAGGAGCACCGTACTCAACCTCCTCCCCGCTACTCTGAGGCAGCACTGGTAGTATTTTATTTTTGTTTTACATTATACAAGAAATGCTGTTAGATTTCTTTAGTTATTGTCTTTGGAAGGGGGGACTATGAATCTATTGCCAATAAGGATTACTTCAAAATTGATGCCTCCAGAGTTGTTTCTACTATTTGAATGTACTCCATACATGGAAGGTTTAATCATAACAAACGCTTTAAGTTAGTGTTATAACTGGTGTACCTTTGTTTAGCTTTGGTTTTCTGACCCTTGTGTTGTTGCGTTCTATAGATTAAGAAATTGGAGGAGCTTGGGATTGGAAGACCTTCAACATATGCGAGCACTCTGAAGGTTTTACAGGTAATTGAATGTGTTCAAATTGTCAGGTTTTCTTTGATCATATGTTTAAATGTATTATTCTAACGGAAATTGTACACAACTTTTGAGTTATGTCTATCTCATATCCTTAGAAACCTTATTAGTAGTTTCTCAAGAACTTCTTATTTCTTGTCAAACTTGTGTCTTGTCAACAATTTGGGAAGTATTTTGGCCGGTCTTTTTATTGTGATTTTTTAACCTAACAATATTCGGATTTCCTATTGATTTGTGGTGCCAGGGTAGAAACTATGTGACAGTGAAAAGCCGTGTATTACATCCAGAATTTCGTGGTCGTATGGTATGTTCCGGCATTCCTTTTGAATTAATGCAAATCAAAGAAACGGAAAAGACCTTTACATGCTCTCTTGTAGATCCATGCAAGTCCATTGTTATGTGGATTTTTTCCCCTAAACCCTAAGTTGTGCCATTTTATATTATTTTTTGCTGGTTTCTTGGTTGCCTTTTCATTAGTTTCTCGATAGTTCTTAGTTGAAGAGCATACTTAACATTGGATTCCTCAATCACTGAGTCCATGAGATATGTTGATTTTCCTTACGTCCTCCCAATTTGTTTTATTTTATTTTTCTTACTTTTAGGTGTCAGCATTTCTCGGCAACCATTTTTCCGAGGTCACAGATTATAGTTTTACTGCTGACATGGAGACTGAGGTAATTCTATATTGACTATTACATTTTTCAGTATAAGTTTAAATATTTTGTAATAGAAAAGAATTAATGCGTATAATATTTCTTCCATCAAGCAATGTTGTTCTGTCATTGTTAATTATTTGATGTACTTGATTTCCCTTTTTTGTTCCTGGTGACTGACTTCTTTGTCTCTCACTTTTGATCCAGCTTGATAATGTCTCTGCTGGCTTGACTGAATGGAAAGGCCTCCTTAAAGATTATTGGACCCGATTCAGCACTTATTGTGAACGTACCAGTACTGTTCATATTCATCAGGTAAGATTTGGTTTGTAGAACAAGCAACAAGGATTTAGAAATTAGAGAGGGATTTAGAGGAGAGAGAATTAGAGTTCAAGAGAAGAGTAATAGATAGTCAGCACAAGGAGAATATGGCAAGAAGACCAATGATTCGATACATAAATTATAGTGACGGGAGGGAAGAAGGAGAAACAAAGATACTCAGGGAGAAAATCTGTTTAATAAATCATTCAAGTCTTATCAATTCTGCTTCAACTGAATTACAAAGTATGTATTTATATTTTATAATGACGTAATCTTGCTAGAAACGGGATTGCAATCCTAAACTTACTGGAAACAGGAAAGTAATAAGAACAGGAAGGTAACAAAAAAAATAGGAAACTAAATTAAAATTCTTAGTTCATTATTCTGCATAATTGGGTCTTTGTTAAAATCAAGCCTCTTTTTGTAAAATACCTGTACTTGGAATAACTTTCCTGTTTATAATAAGCCATTCAATATCACAGGTAGAGAAGATGATGGAGAAGAAATTTGGAGACTTCTTGTTTGCTTCTCTTCCCGACCAAAGCAGGACATGCCCATAGTAAGCAGATGCTGTCATTATCATGTAATTTATGTTGTGATTGAAACTGTTTTCTTGAGAACATTTTTCTAACACATTACAATTTTAACTTGTACATGTTTCAGTTGTGCGGAAGGCAGTTTGATTTTCAAAGTGAGTCGGTTCGGTGCTGGCTATTTTATAGGTTGTGATCAACACCCACAGTGCAAGTGAGTATGAAAAGCTATGGTATAAAGTCTCATGCATGTGGGCTATATTGTGAGTTGATCATTCTATTGCCAGTAGCAGTACAAGTGACAAGAAAGGAAAAGGAAAATTCAGAGTAACAAACAAACCAGTTTCATTGCCCGTGGCCGTGTGCCTACATATATGGGCAGAGCTGGCAAGTCAATTGACTAAGTATTTCCAGGTCATTTAAACTGAAACGAAAGATTGAGTTATCAGACATGGCTCCTTTCTATAACATAATAAACTGAAATTGCTGAGCTTTGTTCTAGTTTCAAGTTGCATTTTGTTGGCCTAAATTTGTCTTAGTTGTAGCGAAAGAAAAATCACTATCCATAATTGATCAATGTTTCCTTTTGTTGCTGCAAATAGATACATTGCTAAGACATTTTACAGTGATGAAGAAGAAGAAGAAGAAGAAGACGGTCAAAAAAAGAACAGCGGCATGGAGGAACCAAAACTGCTAGGTCTAAGTCCAGTTTCCAGTGAAAAGGTTTGCTTTGAATTTTGATATTTTGTTGCTTTAAGGGTGGAGCAGTGGCTTTTCTTGAATTTATTATTTACAAGATATGTTTACACTAAAAAAAGCCTATGTACTCTTTCAGGTTCTTTTGAAGAAAGGTCCTTACGGATGCTATGTACAACTTGGTGAAGACAGGAAGACTTACGTACCTAAAAGAGCCAATGTATCCCATGTATGTAAAAGTTGTGTTGCAACTACATATTGGAATATTTTATTCTTGTTTCATTCACATCTTCTTGCCATTTTTTGTGTTCATTCGAAAACTGCTGTCCAAAATCATATCCATAATACTTAAATATGTGCTGTCTTTCGTAGTAGTTGTTTTGAAATATGTGCTGTCTTACGTAGTAGTTGTTTTGACTAGTGCATTGATGTACCAACAAAATTTCGATGCCCGTTTCAAGTTTACCAATGCCTTTTGCTCATTTTTCTTCTCCTCCTTCCGTCTTTGTGTGCACTTGTATTGAAGACTCACCATGCTTTTATTTGAAATCTGAATCTATATTTTCACATGAAATTACTTTTCAGATAAAGGATGTGAACTCGATTACCCTTGAATATGCGCTGGAGTTGCTGCGATATCCTGCGACATTGGTTTGTTTTTCATTCTTATTGCTGAGTTCCATTTCCTGCTCTTTATCATCCTTGAACTTTCTCTCTCTCTCTCTCTCTCTCCGATTACCTGTTTTAATTTCATTTCAGGGAAAACATCCAGCTGATGGACAACCAGTCATTTTAAAGGTTTCAAAGGTTGGGTTTGCAGTTAGACATCGGCGCACAATTGCTTCTGTTCCTAAGGTATTCTTTTTATATACATTCAGAATTCTGTTGTCAAGAGTTTTGATCAACATTGCACAAGATTTTACCGAGTTTAATGAGTTGGATTATCTTAATTACACATGCAGTATAGCAAACCCACTGAAATCACCCTCGAGGGTGCATTGAAGCTTTTGTCTGGTAAGGATGTAAGAAAAATTGGTCGACCTACGAGAGAACAAATTGAAGAAGCCCAAGCAGCACTATGATGATCACTACCTTTCACAACTCAATTCATATGAACATTCACCAATTCTCCCTCACAAGGTGGTTCAACTGAACGTGGGATGCTGAAGTTCGTTCAGCACCCAGGGAGGTGTGTATGCTTCTTGCTCCACGAGCTCCAAATTCAGAAATGCTGAGCAAATTGAAAAACGACCTTATTTTGTGCACGTACCTGCATTGAATTACTTAGGATTCAGAAGTGAAGGAAACCATTTTGTATGGTCAAATTTGCGCATTTGCCTACTATACACCGTAACACCGCAGATACGGCGTATTTTATTACCGTATAGGATTACGGTATTGAGTTCAGCTAGTAATTGGTAGCCATGTTCCAAGTTTGGGTGGGGAATTTTACATTTTTGTAAAGTATATTTAAGTTGCAATTTCTTTATATTTTGTTCCGAATAATGACATTTGATCATTTTTTTATCAGACATTTGATAAATTAAATAATGTACTAATTGTTTCATGGAAACATTTTATTTGGTGCCAAGCTGAGCACATCTAATTGAGAATTGGCCTCTGTAGAAGGTGAAAGAATATGAGAAGGATTGTAAATATCAGATTAGTTTGGTGTATTTTATTGATTGCATTGCGATTTTTTATTGTTAGATAATCAGTCAAGGATTTAATGACTAAGATTTATTCTTCTAAATTTTTATAGAGAGCCAATTATTTTCAAGTCGTCCAATTTTTTACTCCGTCCACATTTGTACATTGAACAACACGTGAGCCAAAAAAACATCACATTTAAATGAAATGGAATCAACAAGAAATTTTTGTGTACTAGGAACAAGGTCGGTATAGCATTGGAAAAAAAACTTTTCTCTCCTTATAAAATGACGTTTAATGTATGAAATTGTGTTTCAATGACATAAAAAAATCTCTCACATACAAAGTTAAAAAGACGTTTTATATTATATTCCATGAAAACAAAAGCAAAAGACAATTTTGGAGTCACAAAATAATCATTAATGTGACAGCAAAAATTTAAAAAAAAAAACAATGATTAATGATTAATGGGGACAATCTACCCGAACCCGAGTCGTGTGCTTTTCAGCCTTTCACCGTGAGAAAGTTGCTCCGACACAACGCACAGAAGAACCCACACCGAGTTTCGCTCCATTTTCTACCCTCAGGTTCCTCTCTCTCCCTCCCTCTCCCTTCCTTTTTCAAAATTTTAATTAATTTTTGTTTCTGGGTTTCAATTTATCTGAATTATCTTATCTACCACTCCGATTTTTCACCTTCAAGAGAAAAAATAGTTCAATTCTTCAGAATCCCATATGAATTTCGATTGAAAGTTTGGGACTTTCTGGAATTTGGATTATTGAATTCAATTTGGTTTATTTCTTTCTTCCTGTATGTTTTTGCACTTGCTTTGATTTCAATGATTGAATTGAAAACTGGGATTTAATGGGTGATTTGCCTCTGTTTTTCTGATTATTTTTTTGGGTTTTTTTTATAATAAAAATTAAATTAGGGAGTATAGTGTAATATGCAACAAAGATTGAAGCTTCAGCAACAACAAGAAGCCATAATGCAGCAAGCACTTCTTCAGCAGCAACAACAACACATGTACCATCCTGGCGTGCTCGCTGCTGCCATGTCTCAGGTCCCCTCTCTCTCTCCCTCCCTCTCTCTCTCTCTCTCTTGTTTGTGAAGAAATTGTTGTTTGTGGACAAATTTAGATGATTTGAGTTATTGGGTTTCACTTAATTTATTTAAATTTTCAAGCTTTATGTAATTCATCAGAACAGCAAATATAAATTGTTAATACAATTTTTTGGGTGGGGAAAGATTTTGTATACTCTTTGGTTGCCAAAATTTTTTTTTGAACTCTTTGTTGTCATACTTTTCTCGGGACGACGTGTTTTCTAAGATTGTTTGAGAGTAGTATTATTTGTTTATCTTCTTTATATTTTTACAATGTGCAGATGGAGCCTATCCCGAGTGGAAATCTGCCTCCCGGATTTGACCCGTCTCAGTGCAACAGTGTGTAAGTGCTAGATAGTAGTTTTCCATTTTTTCTTTTCTGGAATTTTTTTTTGTTTTCCGGAATTTTTTTTTTGTAGCTTAAGTGGACAGCGAAACTTCAAATAGTTCATACCGTTTAATATTCAAGTGGATATATCTTGAATTAAGGCTTATTATTTTGATGGCATGATGGTTTCAGCTATGTTGGAAATATTCATGTAAATGTCACCGATAAGCTTCTAGCTGAAGTCTTCCAGAGTGTTGGTCCTCTTGCAGGATGCAAGCTCATAAAAAAGGATAAGGTACATCACATGCTTCGCGTTCTTTTGAATCATTGTATATAATTTTGTCATTCCTCTTTTACAGGTTCTGTTTTTCCTTCAATTTATGGACATATATGCGATAATCCGAGTCTCCTACACATCTATAAGACATCTAGTGTTTTCCAATTGGTGACCCATTATGAGTCATGAAATGATTCTACAAGTGCTTACACTTTGATCTTGTAACATGATGCATTTCTTAAGTAAAATATGTAACTAGCTGGAGAAATTGTTAATTGCGGCAAACAAAATTGGAATCCTATGTTCAACTTCAAGATTTCTTTTCCTTATGAATTCATGATGTGGCTGTATATATATATTTTTTGCAGTCGTCATATGGATTTATTGACTACCATGACCGACACTCTGCAGCCCTTGCAATAATGAATCTGCATGGACGCCAACTGTAAGCATTCACTTACTTTAGAACAAGTGTGGCTATTATTTTCTTGCCTTTCTTGACTTCGATCATGTATGTTGTATGTCTGTCAATAGCTTCGAGAATTGTTTATATTCATTAGTATTTATAAATCTGGTTTGCAGTTATGGTCAGGCACTTAAGGTGAATTGGGCATATGCCAATAACCAGAGGGAGGATACTTCAGGTTACTTTGAGCTTCAGTTGTTCTACTGCTGTTCTTTTTACAATTTTATTTTATTTTATTTTTTCTACGGGTCATTACAATCTTATTAGGGTTCATTCCGTTAATGCAATTTTACAATGATCAGGGCACTTCAACATATTTGTTGGTGATCTTAGTCCAGAGGTTACAGATGCAACTTTATTTGCTTGCTTCAGGGTCTACCCTAGTTGTTCGTGAGTTCCTGTTTCTTTTTATTATCGTTTTTTTCTTTCAAATTTGTAGCAGATATATCCCAGGGGCTAGGGTAGCATGTTATAATTTTTCCTCATTACTTTCATCAACTGTTCATGTTAAACTTAGTAAGGGTTCTCACTTAGTTTATTGCTTGTTTCCACTTGGGTGGATAACAATTTGAATTACCCTATTAATTTGCAATGCATGATGCTAGTTTTACAAGACTTTTTGTTTTTGTCATTTTTAATTTGCAGTGATGCAAGGGTCATGTGGGATCACAAAACTGGCCGCTCGAAGGGATATGGCTTTGTTTCTTTCCGTGAACAGCAGGTATTACGTTGTAGTGATTATAAACTAGAGAGTTTTGGTGAGATTCATCCCAGCCTAAATCTCCTCCCACATTTATTTGAAAACCCTGAATCACATCAAGGTAGCTTTCGTGTTGCACTCTTTCATGTGCTTAGTGGTGCACATGAAATGCGTAAAGCAATGTCGCTTATTATAGTGCATTGGTTTTTCCGCACCATTTGTGCTGACTTTGTGTACCTAGAGGTGTTGGTATTAACATGACGCCATTTTTTTATTTATCGTGTTGGTTTTACAATCTTAGAACTCTGGTACATCTTAAACTGAATAAGTGCCTCATGGAAATTTTTTTCAGGAAGCTCAGAGTGCTATCAATGATTTAACAGGTAACACATCTAACATGTTGCCTTGTGTTGCATAGTTTTCGTCAGTGCAAGAACATTGTGATACTGGTTGTGCAATGGTTGATGTGTTCTGGACTTTGTTTTGTAGGTAAATGGCTTGGAAATAGGCAAATAAGGTGCAACTGGGCAACTAAAAGTGCTGGTTCTAGTGACGAGAAGCCGAGTAGTGACACTCAAAATGCCGTTGTACTTACAAATGGATCTTCAGGTAGATTGAAAAGTTGCTGACTTGGTTGGCCAGAGGTTTCTTGTTTTGGGCTTCTAGGTGACCTTTGCATTTTGCTATTGCAATTTAAAATAATTGGCTATAGCAGATAGGTCTTAGATTGATGGTTGACGTTAGTATATGTTGCCGTATATTATGAGTCATGATACCGGAACTTGATGGGAAGTTCAGACAAGACTTGATTTTGATGGCTAGTTCTTCTGTTTACTTTATTTTGCAGATGGAGGTCTGGAGAACTCCAACGAAGAGGCCCCAGAAAACAATCAAGCATACACGACTGTCTATGTTGGCAACCTCTCCCATGAGGTGATTATTATGTTTTAAATATGAGTTTTAAACCTTGAATTTGGTCCAATGACATAACTTGTGAACTTTTGTTACGTCTATAAGTTGTCAACCATAAAATCCTGCTGAAAATCTGGTTTGCCTTATCAGGTTACTCAAGCTGAACTTCATAGTCAGTTTCATGCTCTTGGGGCTGGGGTTATTGAGGAAGTACGTGTGCAGAGGGATAAAGGTTTTGGATTTGTGAGATACAACACCCATGATGAAGCAGCCTTGGCTATTCAATTGGGAAATGGCAGGATAATTCATGGAAAGTCCATGAAGGTAATGGAAACTCTACTGCGAATTTTTCATTTTGATGGTCACACAGTTCCTTTGCCTCGTTCATATTGTTCTTCAATGCACATATGCAAATGACACTTGACACCTTTCAGTGGGTTGCTATGCATACGATTGACCTACACAGATGATGTTTGGTATTGTTATGCTTTGAAAAAAAACTGCTTCTGTTGTGCTGTGAGAATAAACTCATTTTTTTCTGCTTCACGTTTTCAGCTTTTTTTCACCCAAAACTGTGAAAATAAGCTGTTTTTTAAGTGTTTACCAAACACCTTTTTAAGCTCGGTTTTTTTTTATACCCACTTTTTATAAAAGCACCTCAGTACCAAACTAGTACGTACTGTTTACGTCTTTCGCTGGTTGTCAATCAAATTACAGTCAGTGTTATTTCTGTCATGATAAAACATCTTTTGTTTTGTGTAATCGTGCATGCAGTGCTCGTGGGGTAGCAAACCAACTCCTGCCGGGATAGCTTCTAATCCACTACCTCCTCCTGCCCAGCCCTATCAGATTCTTCCAACTGCCGGTATAAACCAAGGCTATTCTCCAGCTGACTTGATGGCTTATCGGCGGCAACTTGCCTTGAGCCAGGCTGCTGCCACGTCCATGGCCTTGAACTCCGGCGGGTCCCAACCTATGTATGATGCCTATCCTAATAGTTCATCGGGCAACCAGTTAATGTATTACCGTTAACACTAAGGCCGGTAGTCGGTTTTGTGGGAGTTGCTATTGCGTTTGGTTGCATTGTGCCAATTCTTGCCAGTGCGTGTGGTGTGTATTACTAGTTCTCCAAACGAGATTGTGAGTCGATCTTTTTCTTCCTTTCCGGTGACAGATTGGGAATTCATCTTTAGTTACATGAATTTTTGATCTCCTATGTATGTTGTATCATGTAATATGTGATTAGAGATGAGATTATCCTTATTTTGTGGGATTTGTTAATGAAATGGGGATGTTTTTTAGTTACGTTAACTTCTCTTAGTCATGGCATCTGACTTGAAATCTACTCGACATCATTTATTAATCATGTCACCTTCGATTTTGATCCTCAAATCCCAATCAAGGTTTCACAATTTGCACAAAATAATCATCGGGGCCAATAGGAACCCACCCAATCACGTGGCTATACGAGCCTGTCCCCTGGTTCTAATACCATGTTGAATTTTTCAAGTCGACGGATCGTTGGATTCAACAGTTGTAAACCTATTTTAATTAGATTTTGAAATAGGGATCTAGATCTTCGTAAGGAAGTGTTGGGAACAAAAAGAACTCTCAAATGCATCATTAACTAACAACCCATTCTCAAGGCATTCCTTTATTTATTGTCATGGAGCATATACAAGTACCCCATTATTATGGGATTCTTTTTTTATTCAGCTGCCTGTTATTATTTATTTTCATGGAGCAGATACAAGTACCCCATTCTTATGGGGTTCTGTTTCAGCTGCCCGATCGTCGTTAATACTACTACGACGATTAGACAACTGAAACTATGTATTGTTCATCTAGGTTTTTCTCTCTAAGCCAGGTAAGATGTCCGTCGGAGAGAAGATGGCAGAGGGGACCTTCTCCTGGTTTAAGATGGAGCTGTGACAAGCCCCAATTGTTTGGTGCAAATTTAGATGTGTCTCGATGGCAAATAATTACTGCATTTGCCTTGGTCCCGTCGGCACCTTCCATAGGCACCATGTAGGCCCTTGTCTTTTCTATGGCATGGCACAAGAACACAGCAAATGGATAGCTCATCTTATGGCACGTGACGACTTTGTCCTCGGCCAGCACCTTCACTCCGTCGGTTATTGTGTAAGTCTGCTCCACATCATTGTTGGCTCCTCTTTCCACCTCCGTCGACATTGTTCGGATGTTCGATCCGAGCTCGGAGGTGGCGAAGTCAACCAGTGACTCCAAAGAGGTAGCACAATATCTTTCTTCTCCTTTCATGGCCGGCATTTCGCAATAATCAATGGTTTCCTTGATTGTATTGGCTTCTGATGATTCCGGCCTCAGCGAAAATCGTTTGAGAATTTCTTCCATTTTGTTTGATGAGAAGGGGATCGACTCTGCGGTTGGGCGGGACACGAAACGTGATGATTTGCTTGTTGTATCTCTGGGGAAGCCATATTTCACTGTTTTTCCAGGGTGCAAGTCCTTCTCCATGAGGACTAAGCCAGCACAAGGGCCAAGAGCATCAGTGGCTTTGTCAAGTTGGTTCTCAGTGCCAGCAGGACGGAGAAAGTTCTTGGATACTAAGTCTGCAGATTTAGCAACATAAACCAAATTAACGCAGCAAAGTACAAGTGAGGGACTATACGTATGCATACATGTCGATATAGTCAATATAATCGTACGTGAAACTATATATACTCGTTTGATAACCATTTTGCTATTAATTTTCAATAATTTACACACACACACACACAAACCTCCAGGATGGATAAGTTCACGAAAAGCTTTTGGAATTGGCGTGTTCGGCAGGACGGAGTTCCAGTAGGAAAGTTGAGGCAACGGCTGCCGCACAGCAGCTGCATGACTTGCCATTCCCACCAGTGTGGTCAGCTGCAACAGTAGAAAAACCATCATTAATTAAGAAAACAACGAAATTAGTAAACAATTAGAATGCAGAGACTGAACGAAAAAAATCATTTGAAGGGATAATCCAAATAAATTAACTAGAGATGGAGCTAGCTTAATTATACTTACAGTGAGAAAAGTAAGCATTTTTGAGAGACGGAACTCCATCACTACACGAAGACACTCTTTTAACTTTTGCAACCCAAAGTTTGCTAGTTGATGAAACAAGAGTGAATTGGTTCAAGATTTATAGGAAGGGAAGATCAGAGAGAACTGAAGTAGATGCATGCACCGCATGTGAGTTTGGTTGTCTGGATTAGGTGTAAGACATGCAGACCCTCCCATTGCCTCGTGTAAACATCCTCCATTAAAATGGATCGTTACAATCACAGAGCATGCAGTGGCTGGAAATTAATCTCGTTTTTCAAGGTTGTGCCTTTGTGCTCGAGTTTTTGGTAACGGAAATAGTAGGTAGGTTCCATCTCGTGGAGTTTTTATGGTTTACTAGCAATTTCTATCGGGTAATATTTTCAGGAACATACAAATCATACTTATTTTATCTATATTTTCAGTCATGGGTTTGATTTTTTTTAATGACTTCATCAAAATTCTTATCCATATATTTTTTTTCTCGGTATCTTTGATTTATTTGGTGTTTACTTTTATGAACTAATGAAATACTGATGGTTTGATGCATAATAAACCTTCCAGATTCCTTCTCTTACAAATTTCTCACCTCTTAATTTTTTTATTTGAACGGTCTTGATTAAGCCATTAATATCTTGTTCTGACTTCTTTATAGAGAGAGAAAGACATTGTGAGAGATGAGGGGAGAGAAGAGGAGGGAAATTGACGGAGATAAAATCCTACTCCATTTTGTGATAAATGGTGATGGAATAGAAGGACCAGATTGATTTGCATCACCTATTTTCAAGGATTACATTGGTCGATTTTCAATTTCAGTGATCATATTAATGGAGTGGTCAATTTTAAAAACCATTTGTGATAAAAAAAAAACTTTTATTTTAGGGAGTTTTAACAAAAAGCTCCCGGTATTGTTTATTTTTAACAAAAAAATTACATTTATATATTTCCCTGGTACCATTCACTATACCTTTAAAAATGACTTTTCATTAAAAGATAAGTTTTTATGGACTTTTCGTTAGTTTTCCTTTTATTTTATGCCTTGTGTCATTAATCAAGTTGCGTGTCTTTTAATTAAGAGATTAGTTCATGATATCTACGTTTTGGTTTTGAATAGGTATTTATCTGTATTATTTTAGGGAACTGTTATTAACATTTCAAAAATCTCATTATACACTCCTCACAAGTGTATTTTTCTTTCTAATTATAAACAGTTTGGAGTGCCAAATGAGATTTTTGGAGTACTAATAAAAATTCCTTTATTTTACTATGTTTAATAAAGCATCTTATTTCCTACCCCTTCTTCTTCCCTTAATATAAATAATATCGTTTGTTCAAAAAATAAAACATCTTATTTAAAATAAAATAAAATAAGAATATATATAAGGAAAACTAATGAAAAGGGCTTGAAAACTTTGAGTTTTAATGATAAGGACAAAATAAAGGGTAAAGTGAATAGTATCATGATTGACTTTTTAGTGTAAAAATGTGATTTTTCGTTAAAGTGAACAGTACCGGGAGCTTTTCATTAAAGCTCTCATATATATATTGGTAGGACAAAAGTACATTGACCTCTTTTAACAGTAGAAAGCCCAAATTGGTTGGGAAAGAAAACCTCCGGCCCAAATGTGGAATAAAAGGAGAAATTTTTCTTTGTGGCTAAAACACGGGTGGTACATCAAATGTTTTTATATAAATGGTGAGAATTTGTATTTTTTAAGTTATTAATTTTTTAACAAACATATCCAACCATTTGCATAATGACACGTGTATCATCCCGTGTTCCGATCACACTGAAAAATCTCTCAAATTAAAGGAGGAGTACAAATGTGGTATTAAAAATTTAGAAAGGGTAATAATAATCTTGGAATCGTAAGGTTTCCTAATTAGGGTTTTAATCGCTAGGTTTCCTAATTAGGGTTGTAATATTTTATATTTAAATCAACGTTGCGTAGTCGTTACTCGTCAGGAATTTTCCCCCTTTTGACGATTCTTCACCTTCCCTTCAAAACCGTTCCTTAATTGTTTTCGGTCTTAAGCTTTTTATTTAGGGCTAGGGTTTTTCTGCCGTCGTAGGGTTTTGGGGGATATGGAGCCTTTGGTGGGTGGAAGGTTTCAACTTGTTCGAAAGATCGGTAGCGGATCGTTTGGACAGGTCTACCGGGGTAGTAATATTCAGACAAACGAGGAGGTTGCTATCAAGCTCGAAAGTGCCAAGACGAGGCATCCACAACTGCTGTATGAATCAAAGTTTTATAAATACTACATGGAGGACCTGGAGTTCCAAACGTGAGATCGTTTGGCTCCGAAGGAGACTACAGTTTTCTTGTCATGGATTTCCTTGGACCTAGTCTTGAGGATTTATTCCAAGCTTGCAGTAAGAAATTCTCTCTTAAGACGGTTCTCATGCTCGCAGATCAAATGCTCGATCGAGTGGAGTTTGTTCATTCGAAATCAGTCCTGCACCGCGACATCAAGCCAGACAATTTCGTGATGGGAGCGGGTCGACGGGCGAATCAGGTTTACATCATCGACTTCGGCCTCGCTAAGAAGTACAGAAACTCTTCAACTCATCGGCATATTCCGTACAGAGACAATAAAAGTCTGGTAGGTACTGCAAGATATGCAAGCGTGAACAACCATCTTGGCATTGAACAAAGCCGCCGGGACGATTTGGAATCACTAGGATATGTGCTTATGTACTTTCTAAGAGGAAGTCTTCCTTGGCAGGGTGTGAAAGCAGGGACAAAAATGCAGAAAGATGAGAATATCGCAGAAAAGAAAATGTCAACTTCTATCGAGTCGCTATGCTCTGGTTACCCTTCCGAGTTTTCGGTATACTTCCATTACTGTAGGTCATTGACGTTTGATGCTAAACCAGATTATGCTTATCTGAAGAGACTCTTTAATGGCGTTTTTAAAAGGGAAGGTTTTCAGTTCGACTACGATTTTGATTGGACTCGATCGCTTAAACGTCTGGAAACATAAGCGTAGTGTTAATCTGTAGTCTTTAAGGATCTTTGGTTGTTTCAATTCTTCATTCTTGTATCAATTATCGACAAAGAATACTTGAGAATAGTGATTAGCTAGTGATCCATTTGTAACCAAATTTTAATCAATTTAGATACATGCAGTGAATCCTCTATTTTTTGTGTTTCAACAAAGAGAATATATAAGAAATTGATAATTGATCATAAGAAATTGACTACTCTAGAATACCAGCAACAAACTCACATACATGTTGAGTTTCATCGACTCGTCAGTTTATCTACAAAACTTGTACATTTTTTTTGTTCTGCTTAATTACTTACAATCCTTAGACATGTTTTCTTAAATAGTCTAAGGGTTTGAGATGATAGAGAGTGTTTGATGGGTGTTCCTAGCTCTCGGTAGATCTTGTACCTGGTTCACTCCCCTCCTGCAAAAACGAATCAACACCTTTTAGATTGCATTCGACAATTTTCAGGGTTGAAATTAGGATTTTGATGAGAGAAAGAGGACTAAGTTTATTGGCCATATGCACTTACTAGCTGCACCGAAACTTGGCTGTATTTGCATGAGGGGCTATGATCACCAGCCATCAGTGTTGGGTGCATTGTCTCTTCAGCAATCCCTCTCAATCTGTTAAGTTCTGGCTGGATAACTTTTCCAAGGTCCGGCCTGTCTTTTCGTCGCAACTCAGCACACTGGAGAGCCAGTTTGGCAAACTTCAATGTGTCTTCAACCGGCCAATCTGGCACGGATGGATCTAGCATATCCGCGAAAGTCCCCTTCTCAATAGCCCTTTCAACATGGTGAGTCAATCCCATTGCCGGCTTGGCTGTGATCATTTGTAGAAACATAATCCCAAGAGAGTACACATCAGACTTGACACCAAGCATGCCGGTTTGCTGATACTCAGGGTCTATGTAGCAGAATGTGCCGGCTGTTGATGTCATGCGATACTGTGTCACGGTGTCAGCAACGGATGGGGGCACAAGCCTGGCCAAGCCGACATCGCTGATCTTGCTCACATAGTTGCGGTCAAGCAAGATGTTAGCGGGCTTTAAGTCGCGGTGGACTAGTGGCTCTGGTTTGGCCTGGTGGAGGAATAGCAAGCCTGTCCCAATTTCAGCTGCAATCTTAAACCTAAGTTGCCAAGAGAGAGGTGGGCTGTTTCCTCTACGAAGAAGACGGTCTTCCAAGCTCCCATTAGCCATGTACTCGTAAACCAAGCATCCGTATTCCGGGCAGGCTCCCAGGAGGAGAACCATGTTAGGATGCCGTATACAGCTCAGTACTTCAACCTGTTCATAGTAATTAGCGAATCAACCAAAGAAAAAGTAATGTTTCCAAATTTATCATGAAATGAATTTTTCTCTTGTCCAACAGCCCAGCAATACAAGAATCAACCAAACTGGTGGCCCAAACACATAGTTTGGCAACATAAGTATCCTATATTGTCAAACTGTTTGGAAAGAGAACACACGCCTTTTTGTTTCATACCTCTTGGTTGAATTGTGATCTTCCTTGCGCTGCATCTGGACGTAAAACTTTAACTGCAACAGGAGTGTGGTCTAGATAACATCTATATACAGGACCATAACCTCCTTCTCCAATCTTGCGGGATTCTGTAAAGAACTCCGTGGCAGCCTCAATCTCTTCAATTGAGTACCTCCTATACCTGACATCCGAATGTTGCAGAGCGTCAAGTGCCTTTTTCTTCTCTTCCTGTTCTTTAAGTGCTTTCATTTCTGCATTGATTCTTTTTTGTGCTTCTAGTTCTGCAATCCTCTTAGCTGCTTCAGCAGCCTCAATGGCTGCTCTGGACTTAGCTCTCTCCTTTTCTACAATAGCCATTGCGGCTTCCTCAGCTAGCCGTGCCTCTTCCAATCTCCTTTCTTCTTCTAACTTCCAGCGCTGGAGTTCTACCGCCTGTAAAATAATCAATTAGAAGAGCTATGTGAAATCATGACAGGTGTAAGATGCTGATAGAATTTTGCATACCTTTTGCTTCGCCGAGAGTGCCTCTTTACAGGCGGTGCTATACATTTCCATAGTTTGCTTGAGCTCCAGCTTTAGCCTTCTCATTTCAGCCTCCACCTCTTCCTGAAATTTCGAGTGACAAAAAATGTTTCTGTTGTAACAAAATTTAAGTAGAAGTACACATTAGTACATAGATAGAGACTAGATACACTTACCATTGGCTGTGATGCAGAGGATAACCTATCGCTATCCTGAGAAACCGAGGAGAATGTGGGTGGAGAGGAGTTGACATCCACGGACCTGCGTCCAAAGTACTGCATAGACTCAAAGCTGTGGTTCAAGTCTATTTCCGTGCTGTTGGACATTCGCGGTGGGGTGACTCTTCCTGAATCTAGGTTTTCGTTATAAAATGCAGGGAAGATACGGTCAATGCTTGGCCTTCCGGAGCTAACAAAAGATATGTCAGTATCCGGCATAGGGAGATCTGCATATGACTTCCCATTTGGGCCTTTCCTAGTAAAAGGAGACCTGCTTTCCATGATACGACTATGTTAGTTCTCACAACAAAATAGATAAAATTTGCTGTATGTTTAAAAATACCGTTTTGTCCATCTTCGTTGAGAGGGAGAGATTGAGTGCTTCTACTGACCTGAAGTTGTCCATTTCATCGTGGGATTTACGTTGTGGTTCTGGTGGCTTTTCATTTCCTGGAAAAGGATTCAACATTTTAAGGTTTCTTGACTTGCAAAAAATTAGTGGGAGATGATTATGTTTCAGGGTGAAAGAAACTAACCTTTGTTACCAGAAGGTGGGAAGACATATGGCTCTGGCTTTGCGCTTGGGGTGTGGTTAAAAGCTGGATTGCGTAGGGGTGAGGTGGCCGGGGCAGGACGTGAGGCGGCCCTCCTTGATTGAAGTTTTTGCTTGGCTACAACATATACATTACAAAAGTCCGGTGCCGCCTTTGATATGCTTCCTGGAATATCTGATGCTTTGAATCTACATAATTTTTTTTTTCAAAAAATTAAGACAATGTTCTGTGGAATTTAAAAAGCATACGAAGCATCCTAACGCCCTTGAGAGTCTTTTCATTTATTTGAAGGCAGTTGGTTTCATAGTTTCAGGAATTTACACAACTAGGAGGGTAAATAATTTGCTCAAGGGCTGCTGACTTAGAAACGGAGGTACTTACCTAAGAAAGCCGGTTTTTGCTGATGCACCAACAACCAAATGCTCGATTGAACTTTGAGTAAGGTATTCGACTAATGCTTTTGTCACATCGGAGTCTTCTAGTACGATGTCTCTGCATTGTATCTGAATTTGAAGAAGAAAAGAAAACGCAAAAGTATAAAAAAGCAATCAAAGATTCAAATCCCAAACAGATATGTAATTGTCCGTGAAACCTCAATGAATATGAAGGTTCAGGTTAAGGTCAAGAATGCAGGTACAAGTTCATCAAACTCACATTTTTCCGTGCGCAAAAAACACGAAAAGGTCGGATCAATTCCCGGGTTTGGGAATCAGGTTCTTTGCAGACGAACTGTTGGTCCCAATTTGGATTACTTCCTGCAACCAAAAATCAAACACCATTATGAAAAATCTTGAAGTGTGAGTTTAACTTGCATATCAAGCAACAGTTAACGAACGGAAGCGAGGGGAGCAGTGCAGAAGAAAATGGAAGCGTGAAAATTACTACTCTAAAAACGAAAACATGGAAAATATGTACGTACTTGGGGTGGAATTGGAAAGAGAAGGTGACTGAGAAAATAGAGGAGGCTTGATCTTGACATGGATGAGAAGAACAGATTGGCCTGGTTTGATGAGATTGTCAATTGCCCATTTGAGAGCACATTGGCTGTTCTTGTCCTTGTCTATAGCCACTGCCACAATCCCATTCCCTACTTCCTTCCTGTCCACTTGATTATTGGGCAGCCACATCTCTCTCTCTCCCTCTCTCTCTCTCTCCTTCTTTTCCTGTAGTTCTTCAGGAATAAGAAGAAAACAAAAACAAAAACAAAAAGAAGAAGAAACAAAATTTCCAATACAAACTACCAAACAAAGCCTTAGAATCCCAGAATTAATAAAGGGTTTTTAACTTCTTTTTTTTGTGGGATTTTAAGTTTTATATCGTTGTTTAAGGTCCTCTGTCTCTCTTTTGCAGCAGGGTCTCCAAAGAGAGACAAAAGGATTTGCGTTTCAAGTATGTGTTGTGTTTGTGTTGACTTTAATGTTACTTTTTTTGTTGTTGGATAGCAACAAACAAGAAGGAAAAAAAGCACTTTTGGGAATAACAAACTGCTTTTGATTTTTTCACTGGTGAATCCATAAATATCTCGCTCTCTTCAATTGGGTTGTTAATATGAGAGATCCTCCACCATTTGCGGATTGTTTTGGTGTTTTGGCCTCTCCCTATCTAATGACTATTTTGTCTCTCAGTCAACCCTCCCTCTCCTTCAAATTCTCATCCATGTCATTGTTATTCACTTTTAAAACAAATTATAAGAATTCGGATACAAACTGACTTGCGTTGACAGAGATTAAGAAAAGGTTATGATCAGTCGTGCACCTGGGCATGAAGTTCACAATCACGAACGGTCAGGATGCGCACAGCGCATGCATGCATGACTGATTTGAGAAGTAGTTAACAATATACAGTCAAAGTGAAACCATCATACCATTATATGAGAAGTCAAGAGTCAAGATTTCATCAAACTAGATAACTTAATTTAACAAATGTACCTTTTATCAGGTAATATTAATGATGTTTTCTAAATTAATACATTTTACTTTGACTTTAGTTTTCTTAACAAAAGTAGCCGTTTTATTGTTACAAATACAAAATGTTGTTAATTATCATTTTATTTGGGAATATGACAACTAATGCTCCACAAGAGCTCGTAATTATAACAGTTAAAAGCATTTACTTATGCATCGAGATCCAGATTTCATACTAACCTAAGCTGAGAGTGAGAAGTACACACATTTCAGATTTTTTGTTATCTTATCAACATTTTACAATACTTTTTAGGATATACAAATTTCATAATTCGTAAAACCCATTTCTACAAACGATTTTTCTACGCAATTTGGATGAAGATCATAATCACAAACACCACAACAAAATGCCCAAAACCTCCCTTGTTTTTTGTAATAATCACACGCATATGCTTTGGCCATCTCCAACTCAAGCATATGTTCATGTTTCAAGTCCTTCACTTGAGGAGGCAATGCCTCTCCTTCGTTTCTCAATGCTGCTTCGAGGTCCTTGATCCTCGACTCTGTGAACGAGAAGGCCTTGGCACCGTACAAGGATATCATGGCCTTCCCATTTGTGCTAATAGCCTTCCCATCCGGTCCTATCAGAACCAGAGCCGGAATCACTTTGATGTCGAAGATTCCACAAAGGTCTTGCCTTGTTTTATCCTGGTAGGGTATGGCAAGCCATGGCATGCTACTCGTGTTGAGTTCAAACTCTTTGAGGTCTCGGTCTATGGAGACTAGGATGATTTCGAAGTCTTGATCACCGGAGGTTATGAGCTCTTCGTATCCTTCTATGAGTTTGGAAGTGAAAGCACGGCAAGGAGCGCTCCAATGAGCACCAAACTAAAGGCCTAAAACTCTACCTCTCTGCCATCACTAGACAAGACATGGTTTCGTCCTTGATGCGTCAACAACTCTTCGAGTTTTCTCCCTTCACGCTTTGCTTCATCGGCAGCCGTTAGCTCTTCTCTTCTCTTCTTATTGAATGGAAATGCAGCAGCTCCATAGTCTTCAATCAGTCCAACCAAGTCTTCCATCTGAACTTAATGAAATGAGTGATAGGATGCGATATTTGCGGTACATGTCACCATCGATATAGCGACTGTAACGAAAAGAAAGTGCAACATTCACAAAAGTAGGTAGACTTTGTTGCACAAGAATCTTTGCTGTATATGTACATCATGTTTCAAGCTTCATAGGGATTGAATTTAAATCATTTTCCACAGGAATCAATTCGTAATCGATTATTCCCCCAAAATGCAACTCATCTCAGTTTGTAACTGCCTAGACATGTTATTGTCAACCTTGGCTTGTTAGTTATTCTCTCTTTTACAATTCTCCAATAAATCAAAGAACAGAGGATATACTTTGTCTTATTAGCTTGTATGATTCATCTGGCAACTCTTTTGAGCATCTAGACAGAGGAATTTTCCAACAAATGGTTCCTTACTAAGGAGGGCAAAAAACTTCGGTAGGTCCATTTGACAAAATATAGTCTTATGTTTTTGTGAGAGATGCTCTGCAGATGACGTTTTAAGCAAGAGGAGCTAGAACTTACCATCCTATGAGGCAACAAGCCCTCAAGTCAAGTGTGTCACATAAAGTGGAATAAAGAACTTGCGACCGGGCAGAATTAGACCATAAGAGTCTAAAAGGAGGGAGAATTCGAACTCGAGTGAAGGCAAATGCTCCCTAGTAGTCCTTACAACTACATAAACACTAGTATTTCATAAAGAGCTATGCTTTGGATAGTCATTAACGTCATATGCGTCAGCAATTGTCAACTGTTGATGCATGCATAAGAAACTCAACAAACGCATTAACGGATAACATGCACATGAAAAACCTAGAAAATTTCCACCGTCATAAATGAAAATCTGTAGATTACGTTTATTAATCTGGTCGGAGTGTTGATGAACAGAAACAAAACTTATGGAAGACCTAATTATAAATCAGAAAAAATAATCCTCAAGTGAATCAAAATTAAGGCAAACTAGTGTACCTTACACTTTTATTCCTGAAATCCTGCCTCGAATATATTTATACAAATTCCAAGGAATAAAAGCCACAGAGAGTACTCCTCAGAGAAAGGGGTGGGCAAAAAAAAAAAGACTAAATCCTAACATTTAAAGAAAGAAAAAAACACTATTCATAGTCACATTCAAACGATCAGATATGGTCGACGAATTTCAAGGCCCGACTCTACCAACGGCATGACAAATTCATGGGCCGAACGGGTGGAGCGCAATTGAGATTGCAACTTGTATTGCAAGACACCACAGCAAGGTCGCGTGTGGGTGACTGTCAAGCATTAACGAACACAGGTTCCATGGTGAGGGGCTGTCAACCGTTAATGGACACTGGTACCAAGGTGGGACCTAATTTCGTCCGTCCGTCCAACAACTAAGAGTCACCCATCCCCGCACGGTGGTTACTGTGCTTAGCTTTCCTCTGAACAGAAATTTGCAGTACATATTCAACAAACTAAACAAAGTTGTGCACGATACATCATGATGTGCCAAACTCAGATGTTACTAATTGAACATTATCAAACTTGAGAAACAAGTTACTAATCACTGTGACACGAATCAATGATAGAGTCGACGCATTACAAGGCAGCAGCAGGTTAGTCAATGCTGATGTTTTAATTGTTTGCTAATCAAAGTCGGTTCCAATTGGCAAACCGAATCACGAAGGAACTTCATGATTCACACTCTACACAAGTGTGTTTCGATTTCAAATGGTTCACTTTTTCCTTCTTGAAGAAGCCCTAGTAAACATATCTCTGATGTTATGTGATTCCGTCTCCACTTTGGCCTTCTTCGCTTGCCTTCCAGATCGGGTAGGCTTATTCTCGCTCTTACTCTTTTCCTGGCAAGTTATAACGTGGGGGGTATAAAGATTAAAGACCGATCAGAATTCATCCAAATTTTTACCAGTCATGAGATATGGAAAGCATTTATCAACTCTAACCATTTACTTTAGAAACACTCCAGGTTAAACATTTGAGTTTGTGTGTGTGTGTGTGTGTTTGGGTCGCAGGAAAGAATCTTGGCTCCAACCCTGAAACTAAGTGAATTTATTCCTTTTTCCAATTTGTAGAGAAAAGTGCCCTATGTCTGGGACTGTGGGGGTCATACCTGTAAACCATTAAAAGGCCCCAGGTCACTTCCTGTGGCAGTTGGGAGAAATTCGATATCTGACGTTTTTCTTGTTGCTTCTGTAAAATCTATCCTGGATACACAATCAGAAACCCAGACTTAATACATCTTAAGAAGAATCATCACAATTACCGACAATAAGATGTTCAATATGCTTGTTCCCAAATTTCTACAGAACAAGATTTACGACTTAGAACCATTTTTTAGGAAATACCTCAAACGGTCACTCAAAAGCTTCAACCAGGGTTCATCCTTCACGTATTCCCCTAATACTGAAACTGCATCAGTCACTGCACCAGTAACAGAGGTGAGTTTACAAAATGTTTCACTTTGCCCATCCCATAATAGTCTTGCCTGCATGTCATTCTTTGACCATCAAGTGGGGAGAAACAAAAAGGTCAAAAAAAACTTGTTCTCTCACTGAAGTTGTACATATGTCTTTCTCTTCCCGTGCAGCATAATTATGGTCCAAAGTGGATAGTGTCTGTTTTAGCTGACAGACCTGGCACCACAGAACACAAATGATAAAAAACTTAGAACGACGTTCTATGGATAACATAGATAGTCTTCCATTGTTATACATGGATATTTTCACTAATCTCAACACGCTACAAACACTTGCACTTGCTTGAACCCCCGAACTTACCCTCCACCATATTATTTGGGGGAAGAGGTGTTACTGTCCCCAAAGGCCATGGATTGGAAAAGAAAAATTAAATTATCACAATAAACAAGACTAACTTGACAACGCCAGCAGGAATAAGTAAACCAACTAGTTCATGGTCATCCATGTCATGTGCGCAGCAAGTAATATAAAGTGCCTTCCATTTAAAAAAGCTAAACGGATAAAAGTAAACATCCATGCTTATCCTTAACATATGGCTTTGATGCGTGAACGACATACAACTGCAGTTCTTAAACTGAAAGGTGAGGTCTGTCAAATACATATTTTATAGATCATACTGTTTTTCAACAAGGTTTCCATACCTGAAAACTAACTAAAATAGGGAGTATGGGGAGTAATTCATCAACAATCATTAATCATCACACATGAAATTTGAGCGAAATCAGAAGTAGACAGACCTTGTGGTACAACCAAGCCAGAACCTTGGAATCATCCAGCCTAAAAAATTTCGAGGATCCAATTTCTGCACACAAAGAGGGAAACAAAAACCATATCCGCTTGAATACTATAACACAGTCCATTCTAATATTTGACACTAAAAGTTGTTAGAATTCAAATCATTCTATTAGAAACTCCAACGAAAGAAGCACACTGAAAGTCAGGCTAACAATAGCGCCTTAAATGATTGGTCATTAGTTCTGTTAGAAACTGAAACCGTATTCACAAGCAATGTAAGATGCAATCATGATGCAGCAGTACATGTTCATTGATCAATTTGCAAGCTTCCACTTAAAATCTGAACTACAAGTGCATGGGTAGTGTCCCACCTTTAATTTCGCAAACTAATTGCATACAGTTCTCCGCAATGGACAGTAGTTTATGATATCCAGGATAGCCTTCGATGAAGATTATATCATCTAAAAGCCTGAACTTCCCAGGATCATCCCCCTTCTACATTTTTTTAAATCAATGAAACAACCGCTGGGATCAATGGGATAAACATAATGTACAAAAATACTCAAACAAGATTCATAAGTAGGGTGCGGGATTAAAGCACCACGGAAGTTCGTACCTTCATTCTAGCTTCTTCGAAAATGGGCAAGAAAATGAACACAGGGTCAACTGGAGTGGCAGTATACAATCCACCATCTATATGGAATTACAACAGAAATTAGCCAATTATCAGAATAATTCAATTAAATTTCACAAAAAAAAAAATCAGAAATTAATAGAATAAAAGGAAAATCAATAAAGGTACAACCTTCAGCAACGTAATCACCCAGAAACCAAGAAGTGTAGGATTGCTTGAACCAATTAAGTTCCTGAAGCACCTCATTTACAAAAAGGTAGCACATTTTGTTTCCTGTAAAAAAAATGAATTAAAAAAATGAAAAATGCCCTAATTTCCAAGATTTCAAGAAATTAAATGCGTGCATTTTGAAATACCGGACTTGGGATGGCGTAGCGAAAGCAATTGCCCGGCGTCGTTTCCGGTTTCAGCAGTATCTGTAGATTTTGCGCTTAGGTTTAGGGATTGTGCGCAGAAAGGATTAAATTGAAATTGGGAACGAGAGATTGGGGTAGAAGTTTTTACCTGCTGCGATGAGAAGACGGGTTTCGTCGGAGCCTTCCCACCAAGCCATTGAAGTGTAAGCTTCCGTTCCTTAAACCCTAGCTGTTAATGAAGGCTAGTCAAACGAAACAAAAGAGAAACCGCGCGGGGTTTGTTAAGAAGTGTCAAGGCCTTCATTTAGCTAATAAACGTAACATGGTTGAACCCTATCAATGCATAATGACATAGTAGTGTTATCTCGTGTTCCGGACATGTTAAAAAATCTCCTCAACAACTTGTCAGATGATGAGTTTTGACCAAGGAAGAAAATATCGATAATATCGGAAATATCGGTAGTCCGAAAATACGAAAATATCGATGGAAATATCGGGATAATATCGATATCGATAAAAATTACATGGAAACCACGGAAATTGTAAGAAAAACTTGGAAATTTTTAATGAAACTTTGTAGGATGTTTATTTAGTCAATTATCTATTAGTTTATCACAAAAAATTGGAAGGAAATGCATTGCATGATGGATTTAACTGATTTAAGTTGATTATATAGCGAGCTGGCAAACATTGTGAGTGTAGAAAATATGTAGTAATTAATGAAAGAAGTTTAAACACACCATAATCATTTATATATAATTAATTAGTACAATATTTGGAGGTTTTATTTAGGATATTAAAAAAAAAAGGGAGTGAATAAAATGATGAAGAATAATGTGCCGAATTTGACAATTTAAATTTTCTACACATAAGCATGCGTCTAGGCGTTGAAGTTCCAAATTATAGTATATATCAATTAACAATTGAAATCAATACATTGAATAAGACTAAACTTTAATTTGGATGCCGATTATGTTTTTCAAGTTGATATAAAGTAAAAGTATTGAATTTTGGAAGCCAGGAGTGTGTCAATTGAATTTTGGGCGGCGTGCAAGGTATCAATCTCTTCGTCTCTTCGAGGGCTACAACTTTCCTTTTTGTTTCACTCAATTTCGTTGCGTATTGAAAAAGTTATACTCATTTGAATCTTACCCAGTTTCCGGCGACCTCAGTAGCTTTCGAGGCAATTTCCGGCCAAACCACAATGAGTCAGATGTCGTGTGAGGTACCATTCTCTTCGTCTCTTCGAGGCTAACAACTTTCCTTTTTGTTTCACTCAATTTCGTTGCGTATTGAAAAAGTTATACTCATTTGAATCTTACCAGTTTCCGGCGACCTCAGAGTAGCTTTCGAGGCAATTTCCGGCCAAACCACTGCGAGTTGGCCGGTTGTGCAAGGTATCAATCTCTTCGTCTCGTCGAGTAGTACAACTTTCCTTTTTGTTTCACTCAATTTCGTTGAGTATTGAAAAAGTTATACTCATTTGAATCTTACCCAGTTTCCGGCGACCTCAGTGACTTTCGAGGCATTTTCCGGCCAAACCACGACCATTCAGACGTCGTGTGAGGTACCATTCTCTTCGTCTCTTCGAGGGCTACAACTTTCGTTTTTTTCTTGCTTGATTTCGTTGAGTTTTGACAAAGTTATGACCGTTTAAAGTGGGTGTAAAATTTCGGCCGAAATTTTGATTTTTTCTCCCATTGGGCGAGTCCCACATCGCCCATGCAAGGAAGTGAGCAAGCCATTTTTCCTATAAAAGCCACACTCCCCTGTTGAGATATCCAAAGCTTGTTTGGCCTTTAGGCCTTGATCAAGCGAAGTATGTGTTGAGTTAATTTAACATATTTAAGTATTTTTTTAATAAAATATTGCGATATTATCGATAATTTTGAAAATATTGCGATATTATCGATAATATTGTGATATTTTAATGAAAATAGATTGGATAGTTAAAAAAATTTCGGAATTCCAAAAAAACGATAATTTCAGCGATATAGCCGATATTATTGATTTTTTTTTCCTTGGTTTTGACGGCTATTACTTTAGTATAAAGAAAGCATGGAAAATGGCACTGTAGAAATAAACAGTAATTTCATTTTATTTACGAGGCTGTCACTGACTCTCTCTGCCGTTGATCATAATGCCCGCGTGTCGATGATCGTGGAAAGGCAGGGTGCGATCGTCACTTTACCATTCTCTTCCTCCCCAGATCCCATGCTCTTCATCACTCTCTTTCTCTTCCTCCCCAGATCCCATGACCTTTAGGTGATAAAATCGTGATGTGACCATCGTATTCTCTCTCACAGCTCACAACGATGAAATCGCACAGGGGCTTCGTTGATTTCTGTCAACTCCAACGAGATCCAAGGGCTAATATCAGGATGAGAAGAAGATATTGAGAGATTTTCCAAACTCTCCAGCTTCACTGAAACATTGTGGCTCTCTGTTTTCTCCGGAGAAGAACGGCAGCAAGTGCGATTCTTCTGTCGGGACGATGCGGTGGTAGAATCTACTGCCGATGATGAACATGCGAGTGTTGCTGGTGAAAGCTGATGACTCCACCAGGCATATTATAGTTGTGCTTCCCAGGAATGTAGCTACAAAGGTTAGTGGGTTTTGCTTTAATTTTCTAAAAGTTTTCGATTTTGGAAATTTTTTAGGGGATTTTGCTGAATAAAGATTTGGGTTTTTGTTTAATTTGCTTAAAATTTTGGTTTTGATGAATTTTGATGATATTTGGATCTCAGAGTTTAGTTTTAATTGAAGTTCTAGAGTTACTGGATTCAAATTAAGAAATAGTAATTGATTGTAGTTAATCATACAAAATATTGTGTGTGATTTTCATGTTGTACGTGATATGTTAAAATACAGCAATTTTAGTCTTAATCTTACTGATAAAAGTTGTTTCATTGGTGTATTTACACCCTTTTTGTATTGTGAATCAGGCGAAATTGAACCGCCACATGTGCCGCAGCCGCATCAAGGGCTGGTTCTCCAACGGCGTCGTTTTCTGAAGCTCTCTCTACTCAAGGTACGCAATTTAGAGTTTTGGCCCTGAAAAGGTAGCGTTTACCGCTGAGTTCTTCAGCTGATTTGGGGTGGGTATTTTTGTGGTTTAAATATTATGTGTGTAGATGTGTAAATTTCCTTTCTAAATGGGTTTTCTGTTGAAATTTCATTTTTGTGATTTTGGGGATTTATGTTGAAATTATTGAAAAGGATACAATTCTTAAAAGAATTCAGTTTACTGCATACTCCTTTTCAGATTCAAAAAGGATAAAATCAAAGGCAATAGATGTGCATATTAGGTACATTGATTGGCCTGAATTACATAGATAGGGTGTTCGACAAGGATAATACTATCATTGCACCTTATTCCTTGACGCTTTGGGACCCTGTTGGATCTTCGTTGGAATAGTGGAAATTAGTTTTCGGACCTGATATCGCTGTCTTCAGTAACTCGGCTGGTAATTTTTGGCAGTGCCCATTTGAAAATTTTAGTTGTTTTTGTTGTTGGTTATGTTTATTTGTCAAGGTAGTGATTTTGGTTTCATGGTTAGGGCTTTATGAATATAAGCATGATCGTTCAAAAGCTAGGGAGCTTGAAGAGGCAATTGGAATTAAAGTCATAAGACATACTAAGTGTTTGTTTTTTCTTTATTTTTGCTGCAAAGCGGGTTTGTGAAAGTAATTTGTTTTATGAAATGGGTTACTGCCAGATGGTGAAACGATCAATTCTTCTCTCTCCTCTACCATGCTTTCCAGTGGATTCATCAGGTGTTGCTAACGTTTTTATTTTTATTTTTTATTCTTTGATAGCTATATTGGGAGTTTGATTTATTGTAAATTGTAGTGATAAATGTTTGGATGGTAGAGTTATATCTAATACAATTATTTAATCTTGCATTACTCTCTCTCCCGTCCTTATGTTGTTCTTTTAATTTCAATGATCCATTATTAGTTGGTTGTTAATTAGGATTTGTTTTATAGAATTTGGACTTTGAACAATAAAATCTCCATTCAGTTTCTTCTGTATCGTGCAATCGGCCTATCATATTGGTTGACGAGTTTGCGCTGTTTGTTTATGTTCGTTTCTTTTTTCCTGGATTAGAAACGTCAATATCTATCGTTTGGTCCTCTGAAGAGAGTGCCTAATGATTTTGAAAATTTGTAAGTGAAATCATTGTAGTTTAAATTGCATTAATTTTCCTCAAGTTCAATCACTGAAACATTCTCCTCTAACAATGTATTATGCATTTATCTAATGCGTTTAATTTTGATCTCCACATTAGTCAATGTTCACTAATGCCTTTATTTTTCCTCTGTTTTACATCTGTGTGATGCCACAACTCCCACTGGAAAGCCTCCATAGAAAAGGGCATCAGCTTCTGACTCAGTTTCCGACAATGCCCCGATGATTTCTCTGAAAACCAAAGCAACCCCAAGCAATTTCGGAAACACTTACGGGTCCCAAAATATAACATGTATATCTTCATCTCAAGTTCATTCATCTCACAAACATTTGTATCAAATTCATATGTTTTCCGTGGTTCAAAGTTCCACACTACTCAATGTTTACTAACACTTCGAAGTACCACACCACTCAATGTTTACTAACACTTTTCATTTTCCTCTATTTTATATTTATACAGGTGATGTTGCTGCAAAGGAAATATGAGGCACAACTTTTACTCCAAAGGCTCCAACAAAAAATATAACAGATTCCCCAAGCATCTAAAACCATATTGCATCGCTGCAAAACAGTTAATATATACCCATTCATTGCTCTAAATTTTCTTAATTACTAATATATATTAAATATGATCTCTTTATCATATTTGTTCAAAACTCAAATGGTTAACTAGATTTCTTTATCATAGTCAATCGGAAATGACCAGTACTTACTTCATTTTATATTTTGGCTTTTTATATAAGCTATGCCGCTTTGATGAGATACAGATAGAGACAGAGATAGAGATAGAGATAGAGATAGAGATAGAGATAGAGATAGAGGGAGAGAGGGTGAGGAGATAGAGTGACAGATAGAGGGAGGGAGGGTGAGGAGTAGGGATCACTGACGACTCAGTCACTAACTCAGATCTCCTCCTCAACGCCAACACCCATCGAGTCCAGTGTCTCGCTCTCCAAGCCCAAAGGTTCCAATTTTTTGCATTCTTTTGGATTTATTTATTTATGAAATTTGATGACTAATTTTTAAATAATGAAAAATTAGTTATTCGCTGTGAAATGTTCATTTTTCGGTGTTTCTGTTAAAACAACAAAATCTTTCTATCAAATGGGTTGTAATTTCATATGTTTTAATGTCAACAGTTCACTGATTATAGATGTGGTGGGTTGGTTTGAATTGCAGGATTATTAAAGGTGTGGAAAAGTTGCAGGCTGAGATGGACCAACCATTTGAGACCAGACTTGAAGAGAGGTCTTTTATCAGAATATGAAGAGAAGATATGTGAGATGACGAGGTGAGCAAGAGAAACGGTGAGGTTTTATTTTCTCATTTGGATTTTGAAATTGAGTAATTTTCTGCTTTGTGTCTTTTGAGTAGGCGTGGGATTTAGTTTCATGCCAGGGGTTGGGTCTTTATACATCTCTCTCTGTTCATATTACTTCCTTTTCATTCTTGCTAAATTATTGGGTTATTTTATTTGTGTACAGATATTAGTGTATTTGTTAGTTGGATTTCGATAATTGGAGTTCAAATATTACATTGTTATAGAGATACCAATTTCTCATATGATTGCAATTGGCTTGTAACTTCTATGTTTTGGTTTGTTGTGAAATGAATTCCCTTTTACCGTTAAATAAAAAATAAAAAAAAGGTACAATGTTATCAAATTCGATTTTTCTAATCATTGGGAATGCTGGGGGTTTCTTACGGTTAAATCTTTGATGGTATAAGTTTTGTTTTATTCTCATGAACCCAGTTTTCAGTTTTACTTTTACTTCTTGTGTGTTTTAATATATTCAATCTGGAAAATTGTACTCTGGCAAATAACAAACAGATATTATAGGAGTTCCTCTCCTGCATATGATGCCATATTAACAGGTTGAAGATTTTGGACCTGATAAGTTCATACTTATCAAATATTTTTGTTCAAGGGAGTACCATAGTTAGAAAATTTTGAATCTAAGATTTAATTATATGATGCCATAATAACAAATTTACTGAATATGGTACTGCTTGGGGAATATATTTTGCTCTCAACGTTTAGCTCCTGAATTGTAGGTGGAGAAGTGTCAACAATTGTGAAACATAACACAGAAAAAACAAAGGCATAAAACATCCAACAAGCCAAGCCGATAATAACAAACATAAAAAAAGAAATTCTAATTCTAATTTCTTAGTAACCAAATAGTCCACAACATTTATACTAAAGCAATTGTCTGTGATAAAGTCACAAAATATGCATAAAAATTCCCTTGTATATGTTCTTCTTGTGTCGTGGTCCCTCATAGATTTCGCCAAAAGGTTGATCCTCTTCCTTAGGAGTCTTCATTGTCATCAGTTGAAATGGAGGGCAGGTCGGAGCTAATTCAAATTCATCACTATCCATTGAGAGAGCATAATCCTGTAACAATAAAAACAGTACACCCACTTTTATTTTATTCTGTTCCCCAATATAAAATTCTAATAAATAATTAATAATAAGAATATGACATTAATTCACTTACTCAAAACTCAACGTCCTCGTAAACTCCAACGGATGTTGTTTTACTCAGAACTCCTTGCGTGTTGGACATGAGGTTTAACCACAATGGAAAGTATCTTATTAAATCCATACTTAGGTAATCATTTTCACTGTTTTATGGTTGGTTTGTTATGTGTAATTTTGTGTAAATTGTGAATTATTTTGTTTATTTTTATAGGAGCATGTTGACACAAATTGTCTCATGTAGAAGAGAAGACAAAGTTTGCTATCTGAATATTTTGATTGATTTCATCTTATACAACCCTGAACATGAAGCATTTGAACTATCATGCCATGATACTTCAAAATTTAACATTGAAGATGATTTTGATGGACTTAAAACTATGGTTGATTGGATTTCATATCTTGAAGGCATTCATTTAGAGGATTTTCATGAGTTCAGTAATAAAGACTTACAATGATACAATCTTCCTATGGGTTTTGATGTTTGCCAAGTCCTTTCATTTTCTAAAATGAGGAACCGCTTCTCACGATAGAGTTTTTCAAAGTTCACTGGTAGCGGTCCGATAGACAATGATGGAAAGCACTCTGCTTCTGAATCTTTTGTGAAAATGATTTTAAACAACCAAACCACAATTGGAAAGTTGCTTTACCTTTGTCGTCCTTGAAATTCTTGAATTTGATAACCAAAGAGGTAAAACAACTTTCCAATTGTGGTTTGGTTGTTTTAAAATCATTTTCACAAAAGATTCAGAAGCAGAGTGCTTCCCATCATTGTCTATCGGACCAGTACCAGTGAACTTTGAAAAACTTCATTGTGAGAAGCGGTTCCTCGTTTTAGAAAATGAAAGGACTGGGGCAAACATCAAAACCCACAGGAAGTCTGTATCATTGTAAGTTGTTAAGGAAAAGAGATTACTGAACTCATGAATATCCTCTAAATGAATGCCTTCAAGATATGAAATCCAGTCAACTATAGTTTTAAGTCCATCAAAATCATCATCAATGTTAAATTTTGAAGTATCATGGCATGGTAGTTCAAATGTTTCATGGTCAGGGTTGTATAAGATGAAATCATTCGAAATATTTAGATAGCAAATTTTCCTTCTCTTCTACATGAGACAAATCGTCTGTGATCATGCCGAAGCAAACTAACTCCTCGTCGGGAGGGTTTTACTTTTTAGCCCTGGCCTTTCATTTTCAAAGATTAGAAATAGATGCCGTCAGTGGACTTATTCTAAGTTCATCGAAGGTGAACCAATAAATGACGACGGTAACCATTTTGCATGTGTATTCTTTATGCAGAAATATTTGAGGAATGTGTACCTTGTGGGTTAGTTACACCCATAATTGGAAAGATGATGGTTTGAAAAAGGTGATTAGAGAACCTAAATACAACGAATGTACTCATTAGTAATTAATTTTAGCAAATTTAAGGCAATCGACCCATGTGATTTTCTATGATTTGGTAGAATAATAGTCGTCCATACTCATGACTAGATATGCTTACATGTTTTATGTGCGTTTTAAGTTTTTAAATTATGGTTATTAAAACTTCAAACGCACATAAAACATAACTGGTCACGAATATGGATAATCATTATTCTATTGAATCATAGAAACTCTCATGGCCACCTTGAATATGCTAAATTTAATTATTAACCCAATTGCCTTTTGAAACTGTCTTTCCAATTATTGGTGGAACTAACTTCGCGTGGTACACATCTCTCAAATATTTTTTCATAAAAGATATACATAAAATAAGAGTTTCTTCCCAATTGACCGTTACATGAATATCAAGAGTTTCAACACCTGTTTTCATTTAAGACTTACGATATAGAATTCCTGCACTATTTTCCCTCGCTCTCTTATTTTCTAAAATGAGAAACCGTTACTGTTAGTGGACTTATTCTAAGTTCATTGGCCGTGGTCTAATTGACGATGATGTGAGGCATTCTCCATCTATATCTCTTATGCAAAACTTTTTGAACAATGTGTTGATTGCCTAAGGGGTTAGTCCAACTCACAATTGAAAAATTGGTCTACAACTACCTATTGGACAAGCTAAATATAATAATTAGACCAGCATGGTAATCAAATTTTGCAACTTCAAGGAAGACAATGCCTGGGATTTCCTAAGATTTAGTCGAATTTTGATGGTCCACACCCGGGACGAGGTATTTTACATGTCTTGTTTGTTGTTGAACTTTAAACTTTTAAATTTTGTTTAATATTTTTCCTTTTGTTTTTTTAGTTATCTTTGACTGACGTTGAACTTGACGTTGCCTTGAGTCAGGCTTACTATGGTTCTTACATGTCCTTTTCGAATTAGTTTTCCAAGTCAAACAATATCAGTGGAGTTTATGTCAACGTAGAGTTTCGACTAAGTTATTAGATTCATCTCATAGTCTTATTATTAGTTATTTATTATTATTTTATATAACTTGGGGAATAGAGTAAAGTAAAAGTGATGTATTGTGTCTATTGTTACAAAGACTTCGTTATCTCAATGGACAGTAATGAATTCGAATTAGCTCCGAGCTGCCCTCCATTTCGGATGGTGAGACGAGTGAAGACTCTCAAGGAGAGGATCAAACATTTGGCGAAAGCTCTAAGGACTTGAACGTGTAATCAGTGTGGTTTAGTTCCAAAATCATATGCGTTGTAATAGGCTCCGGAAAATCTTATGCATAAGATTTTGGAACTAAACCACACTGATTACACGTTCAAGTCCTCAAAGCTTTCGCCAAATGTTTCATCCTCTTACTTGAGAGTCTTTACTTGTCTCACCATCCGAAATGGAGGGCAGCTCGGAGCTAATTCGAATTCATTACTGTCCATTGAGATAGCGAAGTCCCTGTAACAATAGAACAGTAAACCCACCTTTATTTTACTCAATTCCCTAAGTTATATATAATAAGAATATGACATGAATCTAATAACTTACTTGAAACTCCACGTTGACGTAAACTCCACTGGGTATTGTTTGACTTGGAAAACTACTTCGAAAATGACATGTAAGAACCCAGGGTAAGCCTGACTCAAGGCTACGTCAATCAAAGACAACTAAAAAAGGAAAAATATTAAACAAAATTTTAAAGTTCAACAACAAACAAGACATGTAAAATACCTTGTCGCGGGTGTGGACCATCAAAATTCGACTAAATCTTAGGAAATCCCAGGCACTGTCTTCCTTGAAGTTGCAAAATTTGATTACCATGCTGGTCCAATCATTATATTTAGCTTGTCCAATAGGTAGTTGTAGACCAATTTTTCAATTGTGAGTTGGACTAACCCCTTGGGCAATAAAAAAGTTTTGCATAAGAGATATAGATGCAGAATGCCTCCCATCATCGTCAATTGGACCGCTGGCAGTAACGGTTTCTCATTTTAGAAAATAAGAGAGCGAGGGAAAATAGTAAGATCTGCAGGAATTCTATATCGTAAGTCTTAAATGAAAACAAGTGTTGAAACTCTTGATATCCATAGTCCTCTAACTTAATGTCTTGAGAAATCCAAAAGACCATAGCTCCAAGTGTAGCAAAATCGTTTCGGATGTCATAATTTGAAGTATCAGTGCAAGTCAATTCAAAAGCTTTTGTTGGTATAATTTTCTGTTCCCCCAACCTATTATCTTTGGGTACTTTTCGGGGATAATTTTCTGAAGTCGGTGCTTAATCTTCTACTTAAGCTTTCTGGTGGCTGGAGACCAAGGAAGCAAAATGTACAGACTATTAGTGGAGGCTCATCAGCAATCTTGAGGCAGTATGAAGTTGAAGGTCTATATGTTGTCTGCTCAATTGACATTGTGAAGGAGATGAAATACATTCAAGTATTAAAGATTTGGGACATATTGCCTCTGGAGGATATCCCCATATTGACAAATCGTTTTATACAGATGGTTTCATCAATCTTTGCAATGAGACATGTCCTGAGGGGTATGTTGTTTGGCATTCTAGGCTTTTTCTTTTTCTAAGCATGCGTGAATTTATAGCCGACCCCACTTAGTGGGAAAAGGCTTTGTTGTTGTTGTTGTTGTTGTAGCGAATGCTTTCTTTCTGTAGTCATATAAAGATACAAACTTTTCCTGATTTTGAAATTCTCAAGTAATTTTTGTGCTTTTTTGTCATTTGAATAGTGATTTGGAAGTTCCTTAAAGCTGGCCACCCGATTTGGATATTCCCCCCCCCCCGGTTTAAGGATCCGAGCAACACTGACGCTGAGAGTGACTTAGTTAGTGACGCTTCTGATGGTAGAAGATACGTTGAGAATTCACAGGTCAGTGAGAGTTTGTTGCTCAAGAAGTTTTACTCTTTGTCATCTGGTGTTGTGAATCACTTCTTGTCTGACCGAGCGGGTAGAGAGTTGGATCTTCCATTTGAAGTTACTGACCAGGAAATGGAGATTAGCCTTTATCAGAGAAGTACCTTTATACTTGGACGTTTGGGAACACAGGGAAAACCAGAGTTTTAACCATGAAATTATTTAAAAAAGAACAATGTTTTCAGTTGGCAGATCAAGGATGCCTTGGAAGTAAAAATAGCACTGTTGAGCAGAGTTCTTCAGCTACTTTGTTGTTCCTTACTTATATTACTTTGTTGTTCTTTAAATTCAAGCGTCACATCAACCACCTTAAGTTACTGAACTTCTGTATGTCTACAGTTTTGCATGTGGTGGAAGCGATTCAACCGAGAAAAGTTTGATTGATATGGCTGATTTTGACGAGGAGGAATCTCAATTCAAGGATATCAAGGATTCGTTTCAGGATGGTTCTCCCAAATCTTACCCTCTTGTAATAACATTTCATGAGTTCTTGATGATGCTTCATTGTGGATGCTGGAACACTTGGTCACGGTCAATTGGAAGGCTCAAGATCCATTGTTACAGCTCACTTATCAGCTTCAGTTCGCATATCCATCAATGAGATAATTATGTCACATCAGGTGCAAGGCCCATCCGTTTCATTTGTGCAAACAAGCAACTAGCAGCATCCAAATCGCCTTCTTTGCACATATAACCAATCATTATATTGTACATGAAAACTGATGGATTAATCCCAGACCCAAGCATATCCTCGAAAAACTTGACAAAATCGTCCTTCCCTGGCTTTGGTAACCTCAAATTCTTCATCCTCAAGAAACACTCGCTTCCTCAAGCATTCCAACCTCAACTAAAACACCAAACAATGCATCGAGCACTCCAAATCCCGGATGAAGGACATTCTTGTGACTACTATTATCTACCTCTGCATCTCAAGCGTTGCTTTGCTTTTGCTTCTTGCATGAAGCATTTTGTTTTTTCAAGATTAATTTGTATTTTTTTTAAATATTGGTATAAAAAGTATTTTTACCAGAAACGTTATTAATAATTTTAAAAATACTTCCAAACGAGTTTTAGAACTTTTAAAATTGATGTTAATGGTTGAAGCCCTCTTAAAACCCAATGAGTAGACGTCTTGGAAGACACATTCTTAAGATATTAAAATGACATGATAAAATACTATACACTTAAAAGTACCAACCAATTGAAAATCAAATTACTTCACAGCGATGCTTGCACAAGATGTCACAAGATGTTCGGAAATTATGCTAGAACGAAAGGTCATTTAAATTGAAATCAATTGATACCATTTTACATTCTTAATTATAGTCACAGTGACGTTCCAAACCAATAATACAATGTCATGTGCAAACCTCTCTTCAAATAAAATCGCTTTATTGATTTTTTACCTTTTGTTACCGCCACATATGTGAACCCAGTACATGCAAGTCCTGAATAAGGAAAACTTCGAACATAAAATGAACTCATTTCCACTATAATCTCACTTTGGTTGCACTATTTGCTTTCCTTCACCGAACAAAGCCAATTCCTTGTGTTACGGATGTGTTCGGTGGGCTGAAGTTGGAATTTCGGTGGTTGCCCGCTGAATTATTTGGAACATTTCGGCGGAAGATCACTGAACAAGACAATTGACTTGTGACTAGGTAATGGCTCCTTTTCTGTTGTCCTCTTTGCCTTCAGCAATTCTCTCCCTCTTAGAAATGCAAATAGATTGCAAATTAAGAATAAGCCTTCAAATAAGAAAAGGATAAAAGAGTATGAAAAAATTCATGCCGCATTTTCTTTTTTTCTTTGGCCATTGTTATTCATTGTTCCTCAAATTAGCAGTGCAAATTGTATTTACCAAAAAACACAGTACAAAAGCATACGCAAATCCTCCTAATTAACTTCCATTAAATATTAATACCTTTTTGTTTCCCCCCACCAAAAACCCTTAAACCTCCCTCAAGCAGTGACAGAGAAAGACAAGTCATCCTCAGAAATAACCCTAGAAGAATACGCATCCCCATCACTAGCATAAGAAGAGTAATCTTCATCAGTATCCCTCTCCTTCAACTGTTCAATCTTGTCCACAACTTCTCTCCAATCCCACCTCCCCTCCACATTGCTCTCACAGCAACACATCCCAATCTTTAGCAGCTTCAGCATTTCGCCTTCCCCGTTCTTCGTCCCCTTCATGTCCTTGTCAAACACTTCACCCGTCCACTCTTCCCTCACAACCGAGTTCACCCAAGCCGCCAAGTCTGCATTCGCTCGCTTCCCCGGTTGGAGATAGTTTGCTGGGAATTTTCCGGTGAGCATTTCTAAGATGAGTATGCCTAGGCTCCATACATCGGTCTTTTTCAACGTGCGTTCGGTGTGGTAGAACTCCGGGGACTTGAAGGCCACCATGAACTTTTGTGCATGGTCTCTGTTGATTAAGGGTATGAGGGCATATTCTGCTAAGAGGGGGTTGAAGTTGTTGTCTAGGAGCACGTTGGAAGACTTGAGGTGACCATGGGGTACGGTTAAGCCGGGGAACTCTCTGTAGAGGTAGGCCAAGCCCCTTGCCACTCCTTTGATGATCATCAACCGAGTTGCCCAATCCAATCCTGGCTGCCCGGGTTCTCGCTTAACTGAAAATACATGGAAAACATCAAGTTAATTAAGTGCAATAGTGTTTGAGATGTAATCAATAATGTGATCAAACGAGTTCTAATTGGTTGGAAAGTTGGCCAATATTGTACTAATTGACTGAGTCTAGCAAACGTTAGCAAGAATAAGATAGATACCAAATTATTAAATTATATAATTATCTACAAACAGATAATATGTACCACATTTACTAATCACATTGTTAATCTTATCTCGTACATAAATAATACCCACTTATTCATATAAATTCTACTTGAAGCTCAACTTAATTTGTGAAATGTGTGATTAGTAATGTAATGATATGCAATGCAATGTTAGGGTTATGAACATACCATGGAGGTGACTAGCCAAGCTTCCATTGGCAACAAAAGCATGAACCAAGAGCTTCTCTTCTTTCCTGTAATAGAAGGCAATAAGTGGGAGCAAATTAGGGTGTGACAACCTCCCAAGCCTTCTCATGTGGTCATAAAATTCATCTTTCCTCACTTGGTTCATTTGCCTAAACTTCTTCACAACCACGGACCCACTCAAAATCCCTGCCTTGTAAGATGACCCAAAGGACCCACTCCCCAAAACCTCAGCTGGGGCCCTCAGCAACTCTTCCAACTCAAAATTTCTGTCCTGCTGCACAAAATACAACTCTCCTCCTCCTCCTCCTCCTCCTCTCTCAGCATTGTTATGGAAGTTGTTATTTTCTTCTTCAGCTGCCAATTGGACCTCCATTGCACCTGTGTCATGGTGAGCCCCTAGTTTGTCTTGTACTCTTGTTACTTGTTTTGATTGTGCTGAACGGCGTCGTTCGAGGCATGCTGCAATGAACAAGATTACAGCCACTGAGATGACTGTGACGGCGATGATTAGGAGGAGTTTCTTCTTTGAGGACTTGCACGCAGCCAGTGGCTTCCCACACAAGTCTAGGTTTCCTGTTTGGTCAACACAAGAGGCCCATAATTAGGCCCAAGAAACTAAAAATGGAAAGAACCCATTTTGTTTGATAAAAGCAATTTGCTTAATAAACAAAAGATAATGACATTGTATCGACGTGCTGCCATTATATAAAAAAAATCGTGTTTGAGGAGATCAAGTTTCAATGATGAAGGAGCATGTCTAAATGTTTTTGTCAACGAATCCAATTTTTTCTTCTACTTAAAATTGATTAGAAGGTCTTGATTTTCCTTCTTTTGTTAATGTTTCAAACTTTTAGTTCTAATATGAAAGTACAAAATCATGCAATTACATTTTTTCTAATATATTTCATTAGTTAACATGACATTTAGACCGAATTTCCCCTTCTCACACTCAAATACACAATTAAATACATTTTAAGTGACTATTAACGATAGTTATTTACACGTGCATGAACGATTATCAACCGTTGATGTATATTAATTTGTAGTGAAATTCACATACATATCAACCACTGCAATCGTATCTCATAATAAGAGACTATTGAAAAAGAAGTTCTCACTGCGACAAAGAAATAGAGTAATCGTGCACATCAATTTGCTAGTTCGCCCATAAGTGGATGTGTAAAAGCACAATTTTATTGTCAAATTCTGAACTTAGAAACACATTTAAAGGAAAATCATGTATTCTGTACTAGCTGAAAACTGAAAAAAAATAAAGAATTCTAAACTAAAAGATGGACAATAATGAAATAATGAAATTCTTGAACTGATTACTTACCGAGGAAAGCGCTTGGGTCGGAATTTCTCAGGCTTGCCGGAATACGACCCTCGAGTCTGTTGTATGACACATTCATAGTTTTCCATGCCTTTGGATTTTGTGAAAATTTTGGTAGCTTCCCACTGAATTGGTTTCCCCGAATATCCAATTCCACAATCTTAGTCAATGCAGCCAACGACTTTGGTATTTTCCCCGTGAATTCATTCCCATCCAAATAAATTTTCTTCAAGGAATTCATCCCAACAAAAAAGTCTTCTGGGATTTCACCAGAGAAGTTATTGTACGACAAGTAAAATGACACAAGTGAACTAAGTTTGTTCACACTAGGGATAGGCCCGTCAAAGCTATTGTTCATGACGCTTACGGTTTTCAGGCCAGATAAATTCAAAAGTGCGTCTATATCGATGATCCCCCGTAGACCCATCTTCGATAAATTCAACCCGAACACATTGTCATCGTGATCACAATACAGACCTGCCCAGTTGTCCGTGCCGTTGCATGGAGGTGTGGCATTAGTCCAATTGTCCAGAGCAGTGGCGTTCAATAGAGATGACTTGAACTTGAGGAGGGTGGCTGCCTCCGTCGGGTCCGAAGATGAAGCAACGTACGATAATACTAAGAAAATTAGCATGAAAAGCCAGTGATGGTGATCATATGCTTTGTGAATATGAGCCATCATAAAAAATAGGGGTTTTCGTTTTGGAAAGTAGGTTTTGATAGAAGAAGAAGAATGAAGGGATTGAATAAAAAGGGGTTAAGGTTAAGTTGGTGTGGTGAAAGAACTAGAGTAGGGGAAGCTGGAAAGGTACAAATAGAAGAAGAGGGGTGCGAGAATGACGAGGTTCATTGTGCCCTATCGGGAATCATGAGCTGGGTTGAGAGCCGGCATAAATATTTTAATTAAAAGATTTCGATTTGATTTTCCCTTAGCAATACTAAGCGTGTTTGTTTATTATTCATCTTTAGCTTGGTGTGTGTCGTTGGGTTGCTGTTTTGTTCTTGTTAATGGTGTTGGGGAAATTGTATCTCATTGTTGGCTCAGCCGATCGGATTTATGTTAGCAACGATATATCACTTTCACTAATTACTTCATTCCCTCAATTAGTTATAATTTCTCAATTGTATTAGATATTGACCATACAAGAGTAATTTTTCGTGTGACCATAACATCATTTGACATGTCGACCAATTACTTACGGAAAACTTTGGTTCTGGTCCCTAATTGACCAATATCTTAGACTTAACCTAATTGGTTTGAATATTTTGACTGAAAGATAAATGTTAAATTTCAATATTAATTAAGAAATTCAATCAAGAAAATTAATAATTCTCCCTAAAATTGGGCAAAGATTAGTATCAAGAAGAGATTTTTTTCCTCATATATACTGTGAAAATCCGGTAATTTTATTTATTTATTTTAAATATGGTAAACAATGAAACATTTCATAAATATAGGTATATTATAGCCAACGAGAGTTGATTGAGTTAGTAAGGATCGTTCTCTTTGCTATATTAAGGGCTGGTTTGGTATTGCTGTGCTTTGAAAAAAAACTGCTGTGAGAATAAGCGGTTGTGCTGTGAGAATAAGCGGCTGTGAAATAAATCAGCAGAGCGTTTGGTAAACTTTTTTGTAAAAGTGCTTTTGGAAAAAAAAGCAGTCTGATAGTGGGTCTTTTCATTAAAGAAGCACTGTAGCTCCGTGTGCTTTGAAAAAAAAGTCAGTTTTCCAAAGCTGCAAATAGCAGCTTCAGCTTTTTCCTTTGATTTCAGCTTATTCTCACAGTAGCTTCCAAAATAAGCCTTTTTTTTTCAGTTTACCAAACACCTAAAACCCTCACAGCTTTTTTTCATAAGTGCTTTTTTTTTAAGCACCTCACTCCCAAACTAGGTCTAAGACTTGGGTTCGAGTCAGAAATTTGTGGTATGCCCTAGTCTGGGATGTGGTATCCTCCCTTTCCCTCTAACTTTTTTATACCGAAAACAATAATATATTTTACATTAAAAAAATAGGTATATCTTACATTAAAAAAAATTGATACATTTTAAGTATGATAAAGTAATATTCTGATGAAACATGGGTCCATTAATTATAGATATATAAATTGGGACATTTAAGATTTTAAAAAGAGAGCATAATCTGTTGAAAGGACCAACTTTAGACCGCCCCATAAAATCCAAGATTTGTAATTGTCGCAGGTTAGCTACAACTGCTCTTTTTGTCTGTTTTTTATTTTTATTTTCCTTTTTGATCAAATGGACCGTGTTTGTCTTATTAAAATTTTAATTTATTTGGGATTATTTGGATCTTGGAATAGTGTGTAAAAGTAAACACAACGTTAATTTCTTTATTATACTAATAATTTTTCCACCTTGGTTTGTGCTGTTTAGCCAGCTACGTTGCTCCTTTGTTCTTGTAACGACGACGGCGAACTTCATTGTTGGTTCAGCCAAACTTCTATGTAATGTAGACGGTAACTCACTTCCAAGTAATATACTTGTATAATTATATATAAGACGTCGTGCGTGATTTGCAAGTAATTACATGTACTTTATTTAAAAAATGAGTTGTATGGCCACTTAGTACTATGGTATAGTAGTATTCTTATTGATTGGTTAGTGAGAGGACTTAAGTTCGATTCTTATCAAAGGTAAATTTAAACCACATTATTATTAACTTATTGTGAGGCTAAAACTATCTTCTCCCCTTAGTGTAGATTGTTTGTACCATACTTGACCAATCCCGAAACTACCGAGCACTGGCCAACGCTATACTGTCAAGGACCCAGAAGAGTTCCCCTCCGACCAGGAGGTCAATCACTACTCGACACGTGTCAAGATTAGAAGCCAATCAGAGCGCAGCACGTGTCGACATCAAGAACCAATCATAACATGACACATGTCAATGTGACAAAGCTACAAGTTTTTCTATAAATATGGGTCATTCCCCCACAATATTGCCTAATGCCATTTTGTGTTAAATCATTCACAAGAACTCACTAAATTGAGAGCTTGATCCTTTGTACTTGTGTAAGCCCTTCACTACTAATAAGAACTCCTCTACTCCGTGGACGTAGCCAATCTGGGTGAACCACGTACATCCTGTGTTTGCTTCTCTGTCTCTATTCATTTACGTACTTATCCTCACTAGTGACCGAAGCAACCAAGCGAAGGTCATAAAACCTGACACTTTCTGTTGTACCAAAGTCTTCGCTGATTTTGTGCATCAACATAGATAATATTGATTGTTCAAAAAAAAAAAAAGTTGTGTGCACTATGAAAACTATTACTTTAATAGTTAAGAATATTATTACCTGTCCTAAACAGTAATTCTGTTCTGTCAACAAAAAACAGTAATTTTGTTACAACGCTGCTATGACATACTTAAATCATACATATTCTGCGTATATAAGCTATATAAAATACCTTGTAAAAAAACTATATAAAATTGCAGTTCCTTAAAATATACCGAGTTCCTTAAAATATATACTCAAATTGCAGTGGATATATACCTTTATAACATCGATAATTAAGAAAATAGCAAAACAGATCCCTCTACTGTTTGTAAACTTCTTAGAATTTAGGGTTCATTAGATATTGGTCCTGAAAATTCATGATTTCTAAACATAAACCCACATATAATTAAACATCCAACAAAAACCCAAAAGTCAAATAAACTACCACATAAAAATATAAGTAACCTACTAATACTAATTATTTACGATTTTTGCCACAACCCACGCTTGAAAATTAGCTTCAATCAAGGATGGGTCTTAAAATCTAATTAATCATCTTGACCTTTTTTCTATTTATTTATTTTTAATTTCTACAACAATCTAGTGCATTACTTTAAATAAGGACTACATTATTATTGTTGTAATTATTCTCCTTGTATATAATAGTTAAACGTCCCTACTTTACGTATATAAATAATATCGCCTTATTGTAACATCCCACATCGCCTAGGGAAGTGATCATTATATGTATATTCTCATCCCTATCTAGCACGAGGCCTTTTAGGAGCTCACTGGTTTCGGGTTCGTAGAAACTCTGAAGTTAAGCGAGAAAGAGGTCAGAGCACTCACATGATGGGTGACCCACTAGGAAGTTGCTCGTGAGTTTCCAAAAACAAAACCGTGAGGGAGTGGTAAGCCTAAAGCGGACAATATCGTGCTACGGTGGTGGAACGGGCCTAGATGTGGTGGACCCGGGTCGGGATGTGACACCTATAGTCTGTAATTTACCTACAATATATAAACAAAATATTCTCATATTTCTTTTGGCAATTTACCTATGATATATGCGAATACTATTCTCATGTTTTGTTGGCATTTTTCCTAAATTATGCAAGTAGGTAAATTTCAATAATGGTAGGTAAATTATGCACACGTGATTTACCTACATTTTTTATGTGAATCAAATATCTAGACTGTATATGTAAATAATTTACCTATAGTTGGTTCTTTTCTTTTTCTTTGTCCTAAAATTAATTTACCTGCAATTTTTATCTCCTTTAATTTATATATTTTTACTTTGACAACAATTTTTTTTATATATTTTAAAGTACAATAATTTATCTATATATAATATGGACACGTTGTAATGGTAAATTGGAATTCGAGAGCCAAACTAACCAACAAATCCCTACATTTATATGCAAAATATTATTTTTGTAAAATCATTAATTCTCCCTTACAATTTGCATAGAATTAATTGTGTACATTAAACATTCAATAAGGGTGTTTTAGGCATCCAAAAAAATTTAAATGGGTAAAGGCAAACATAATTAATGAATTTGCTTATGTGGAGTCTAGTCAATGGGTTTTATTTGAGCAAAAAATTTACGTCGGGTTTTATGTGGAGAAAATTAAGTTTGAGGGGCTAAAGTCATATTTTCAGTAGAATTTATTACTAGAATAGTTCTTGCTTCTTTGAGCAAAATAAAATACTCGAGTTTGCAATAGACAGTTTGAAACTTATTACACTTCAAAGTGTATCTTATCATAACTTAGTGTGGTAGTTTCACTCTTACTAAAAAAAAGTGATCAACTTTCTCTTACATTTTTATACGGATCCAAAAGCACTCACATCAATACAATGAATAAACACACGAGAAAGGAATAAAAACGCAAGGAATTCTTGTCGTTCAAAGAAAATATTCAATAGTATTAATCCAAAAGTCCTCCTTAACTCTAGATTACCTTGTATAACTCTAGATTACATTGCATTTATATAGTTAAAGAAAATAACCTAGTGTTCTACAAAGAAATAAAAATACATTAGAAAAGTACTTAATTTCTCTGTCGATTTAGTAATTATGAAAAATAAAATAAATAACAAAACTTAATACAAAATAAGAAATAATTCCTTAATTTGCTCCTGCATCAGATTTCAATGGCGCAAGGGGCTTCCCACACAACCCTTTGTATCCTGCATAATATTGTTAAATTTACTACTCATACGAAAACTAATGTGTAGGTTTTATATAAAACTAGTCTCTTAATTGCTACACACTTTGGTCTTTTGTTTATTACAGCACACTACTAAGCACAAGTTGATCACTTGTTATTTTGATTTAAGTGATCGCTTGTTATTTTGATTTAAGTGAAATACACAAAAGTTAATGAACACCTGTTTCGTTCAATGTGCTACCACGCAAAGCCATAATTCATGGTCCAGGAATCGTCAATGGACATCTATAAAAGGAAGCTTATATTGGCAACCTTGTATATTCCACAGGAGATTGACAAAACATTGCCAGCAAATAATTTATCGTAGTGGATTCTCTTCGAGAGCACCTGACACAAACATCCAGCTGAATACCTCAAGACAAAACAACCACTTTGCTGAGCACCCACAGCACCAGAGAGAACTCAAATGCAAATAATGTGTGAAGCAACCCCCGATCAAGTGCAAACCCATACAGTGTGATCCCTCCGTTGTTGTGACTCAAATATGCCACTGCACGCACACACGCCAAGCTATACATTGTAGAATTATCAGAGAGACGGGTCATACGGCCCACTTCCAACAACATCGATATTGTCCCCAACTTAGTAATTACCACCTGCACAATCCGTCAGGTGTGGGGTTTTATCACAAAAGGCATCGGTGTTAGTTGGAGTGGGATTAGGGTATTTAAACTCTTCTTTTGTCATTGATACGGTCGATGTGGGACATTTCAACACGCCCCCTCACGTGGGACCCAATTAGCAGGTCACACGTGGGAGATCCACACATCGACAACCACGTGGAGCCAAGGGGACTCACCCTACACGCGGGGCCAAGGGACCCACCATCATCACGCGGGGCCAAGGGGACCCACCCATCACGTGGCAGTACGGTACGGGCCCGCTTCCTGGCTCTGATACCATGTAGAAATATCAGAGAGACGGGCCATACAGCCCACTTCCAACAACACCGATATTGTCCCTAACTTGGTAATTACCACCTGCACAATCCGTCAGGTGTGGGGTTTTATCACAAAAGACCTCGGTGTTAGTTGGAATGAGATTAAGGTATTTAAACTCTTCTTTTGTCATTGATACGGTCGATGTGGGACATTTCAACATACATTAGCATCCATATCACTGCTGCGCAATAGAAGCATGTATAGAGGGTGCACAAATTGAGGTACTTCGTACTAGGATCGAGTTTTCACATGTTAAAAAACACTCGAGGTTACCTGATATGTGAGGTTGATTAATTTGCAAGTAACTACACATATATGGAGTTTATTTACCCTTTGTTTTTTATTTAATAAGTAGGTCCTGATTTTTTCTGATTATCCAAAAAATAATTGCATTACCATAAAGTTAAGGGGTGTATAAACTTAGAAAGCACGCATGCTCACCTAGAGCTTGCCTGGTTTGAAATGAAGAAGGCTCCTGTGGAGGAAATGAAGTGGAAATTTCAGATGAATGCTCCGAGTTACTGTCTCCACAGCGTCTATTAGTCTCTGAGCTGATCTGCCACTAAGCTCGACTGCAGAACAAACCACAAGATCACCAGAGTTGAGGAAAGTCTTCTCCGCCTTGGATGCCAAAACCAGCAACAAGGCCCCGAATTGACTCACCGTGATGGTAAACATGCATCCGATGATAAAGAATCGGTACCTATGGCTCGTAACCCACAATTGCTTTCTTATCCTTACCTGTTCCTGAAATTATATGAATTTTTTTATCAAATGTATAAGAAAAGTGTTGTGCATTATTATTGATCTTTTATTGATATATCTAGTACTATACAGCAAGTAATATGGACTATGTATCATATATTGTAGATTGGTACACAATACTGTAACAACTAAATTGGCTTTAGGATACTTGTTAAAAAGAGAAATATTGAAGATTTTATCGAAATTTGAAACCATATGTATACCTGGAATATGATGCTGGATTTGTTGAATAAGTGGCCAAGTGGCCAAGTGGCCAAGTGGAGAACAAAACAAAAAAAGCTTTTGGCTATTAAACAAATCAAAAGAAAAAAAAGGGACAACATGATTATGTTTCTTACTTGTTTTGGGGAAAAGAAAAGTGCACTTTGTCTAAAGTTTTTTCTTTGGTCCATGTGGAAGTGACGGGGTGACTTAGGGTTTTATTTGGCAGCAATTGTTGCTTTGGAAATTAGAGTAGAAAAGGCAGCCGCATAGCAGCTGAGACAGAGAGCAGCACAAAGAAGAAAAAAATCACTGCCGCAGCCCAATTTCAGAGAAGGATAAGTTGTTGCTTCTTTCATTGGTTAGTTCTCACTCAATCAAAGTTATATTTGTGTATTAGTTTTGAGCTTCGTATAGAGAAGAAATTATTCATTATATTTCTCTTTATTTGTTTCTTTGGTGTGTGAGAGTTATTGGTTGTATTGGGGTTTTGGGTTGTGAGCTTGCCAACACTTTGTAAACTTCTATTTGGTTGATAGTGGATTATTGGGTGAGCTCCTACTGCTCCGAGGACGTACTCCAGTTACACTGACTGTTGAGGAACCTCGTTAAAATCTTGATGTCTTTAATATTTTGTTCTTGCATTTCATTTAATATATTTCCTATAGGTTAGCTTGAGTTGGTTCCATAAAGGTTTGGTGCTATCCTAGCACAACAGGATTCAGATTCATGCCCCTCTAACAACTTGTTCAACCCTTTGAATCGAAGAATTTGGAGCTCGCAAGTCAACCGGAACATAACACAGACCAGCAAGAACACCCCAGTCCTATAAACCCAAGAAGCTAAAACCAAAACAAACATAATTGAATTGACTGGGACGCTTGAGCTTATATGAGGCAGTGAGAGTTGGATAGTTGAGAAGAATATGATCTTCTGGGTAAGCTCAATGAAAAATGAAGGCAGTAGTATGCAAGCTAGGTACTTGAAGACCTTATTGAGCTCACGAGTGTATCCGTGATGTACAAAGCCAGAGTCATCTCTAAGACTGTCAAGGAAGAGGAGTTGCCTCAGGCCATATTTTCGGAAGAAGCAAGAAAGAGTAATGAAGCCAATGGCAGCTAAGCCGGACTCCGGAAGTTGGACTAGCTTGTTGAATGAGATGGGGTCCCCAGATGGGAGTTTGAGAAAGAGGGAGGTGAGGATTGGGACTAGGACTGTTAAGAAGATGAAGGTGAAGTAAGATAGGAATTTTCCGAAGCATGAGGAGTGGTCGAGTGCCCACCATTTTAGGCTGACTCTGAAGCTGCAGAGTTCATCGGAGGATTGGAGAAGTAAGGGAGCTATGTTAGGTTGGTTGGCATCGTCATTCTGGCCGCAGGGAGATGAAATTTGTGGGTGGCTGGTGCAGTGGACATTGATTTGGTTGTTCATGGATTGGTTCTGTGAGTGTTGGAGAGTAAAGGGGTCAATGGAAGCAACGCTGTTGGAAGATTGAGAAAGATTTTGCTTGGCATTTGGGCAAGAGTAATACGCTCTTTGTAAAAATTTGAGTCCCTTCGTAATTTGGAGGGTAGATGAAGCAAGTGTTCACAATGATTGTTGTGGTAGACACTTTTCATGCTAATTTCCTCTTTTTGGAAGATCATAATTTTCTATTGCCAGCTAACTTCAATGCCACTTGGACCACTCATTTGCAGACACGACTGCTTCGATAATCTGACCAATAAAAGTCCGGGAAGTCACGCCAACTTGTAAACTTAGGGTGGACGTCAAATCAGACGATTCAAACCATAACATCGATTGAGTTAAGGTTGGACCATCAAATTAGAAACGAAATGATCCAAAACCCGAACAAAGCGGAAGTTGGAAAGTTAAGGAAAGGCAAAAGAGCTTGCCCTTTCTCGTGAGAGTCTCTTTACCACCCTAGCCTTCTTCAACTTGGGGTTTCAAGTGGAGTGAAGAGTACAGATGAGCTTGCTTTTTTTGTTTTCCATGTCATTTCATATTAATTTCTTAACATGTTGTATATACATTATTTGATTACTGAGAAACAAACCAATGTCATACGTACATATTGAAATGTATATCGAGAGAGAGCTGCTCAAGCGCTAGCCATTTCATAATATTTTTTGTAATCTAAACCGATCATTTTTTAGATTATCATTGAAAGATCATACATGTAAAAATTTACTTAAATAAAAAATAATTTATTTACTTTGTGGAATGTGCCAATTAATTTACTAACTAGTTAGTATTTAAGCACTTATATTATGTATATTGTGCCAAATTAAGGTACAATAGTAAGCTTTTGGTGAAGCTAACTCGACCCAACATCACGGGTTCATTGCCAATAGGCAGATAGTTATTACTCTCCAATGATCTCAACTTGCGACACTGAAAGAAGAAAATGAAGTCCTTGAGTCCTAAAATATCTATGTCAATTGTGTTTGAGTTTAGGCATTGTTTCCTAGATATATATTTTCGACAATCATGCATCCACGCTAGTGGTGGTGATTAATTGATGATGTATGTAAGTATCTATAATGAGATGTATATGCATTCCTTTATTTGTATTTCTCTTTTTATTTTAGTAAGATTAAGAGATAAACGGTGAGCAATATCGTCATATTCTTTTTAGTAAAAAAATAAATAAAACATGCATTAACGATGAACAATCATTCATGTATTATCACTTCATTGGCTACTATTAACCACTTGCCATGTATTATAATATATATTAATGGGCAAAAAACTCGTATCTATTTTGTTGCCATTAAATTCACCAAATTTTTTATCAACGGATAGAGCAATGCCCTGCAGCAGGAAGAGAGGAAACAAAAAAACCAAAATGATGTGAATTTTCAACTTCAAACCTAACCATTACGGAAAAGAGGCAGACACATTGTGTTGATCATCTAGCTTAACTCACAAATGCAAATGTTTTGTGTTCAAAACACATAGATGATTGCATGAGGGGTAGTAATAAGAGTGATCCTACATGAAGGTCATCACTTTGCTTGTGATTTTTCGAGAATCAATGACTTGGATCATTTAATCTTCCGATACACAATAGTTGTGCGACTGGGGGACCATCAACAATCCTCCTATGCAATATTGCCCACAACAGAAGTTGCAAAATGGATTGCTACGGTAGTACTAATGATCGCAGAATATTCACTTGCAACAAAATGGCCACACCGCGGAACGCCTACGCTGCCAAAATTCGTTGGGAGTGTCATGGGTTACACCACCTTTTGGTATCACACCATTTGTTCATTAATAATGGTTTTTCATTGCTTATTAGAATGTGCATAATTTATTGAAAATTTGGACTTCAAAAGGAAATTTAGAACCTTGAAGGTAATCATTTTGAGCAAAAGGCAAGAAGGCCGTCGAAGGGTTAAAAAAATTTACTTTGGAGATGTCGACTAGCGCTCACATAAATTGAACATGCAGAGACAAATAGAGTGACATGATCATTCTTATTAAAAACAACCTAAGCTATCTTCAAATTAATGAATATGAATGAAAGAATTATCTGTGAAAAATGAGTTCTGAAACCGAAAAAAAAAAAGGAACAATTTAAAGCATTTACATACCTTAAAAATTACATCATATGATTTGTGAAGAAACAAATAATCACACCAATTACATAATAAAAAGGAAGAAAAGAAGGAAAACCAAAAAACACTCAAATAAAATATAATAACGTACTAAGGAAAAAATCGAAGCATGAGAGGATTGGTAGAAAACTACTGATGCTCCCCGGATGAGCCCCGGTAACGTTATACCAATCCTCCATTTTCAATTTATTTTTCTTTTTGGTTTTGTTTTATTTTTTTTCAAGCCATAACACCAAACTATCAAGGCCCCAGCATTGTTGTTGTTGGTGTTGGAATCTTCACTGAAAATTCCTATAACTTTGTTTTAATGCAAAACAACCACTCTGCTGAGTATCCACAGCACCAAAGAGAACTGAAATGCAAACAGTGTGCGAAGCGACCCCCGATCAAGCATAAATCCATACAGCGTGATCCCTCCATTGTTGTGTCGCAAATACACCACTGCACACACACACACACCCCAGTTATCCGCATGCATCCATACGACAACCATAAAATACAAGCATGTATAGAGTCTAGGTTCGAGTTTAGGCAAAAACTGAGGTACTACTCTTGTCCTAGGTTCGAGTTTTCACATGTTCAAAAAACATTCGGGTTTACCTGATACGCATGGTTAACAAATTTGCAGGTCACTACAAGTATCAGAGTCTTCCATACGCCTTTGTATCCGAGTTAGGTCTCAAATTTTTCTTGTTACCCAAAGTAGTTGTACTACTATGAGTAGCTTTACGCTACTAGCTAGCAAGCAAGGAATTTAGAAACTTAGAAAGCAATAAGCATACTGACCTAGAGCTTGCCTGGTTTGGAATGAGGAAGGCTCCTCTTGAGGAACTGAAGAGAAAACGTCGGATAAATGTTCGGAGTCACTCTCTCCATGATGTCCGCTAGCCTCGGAGCGCAGCCATTTTTTGCACTGCTGATCTGATAAAGCAGATGGACAAGTCAAGAACATGTGCCATCTCGTTGCAATTGCCACAATTCCTTGAGCTCTATGAGTTATTCTTGCTGCCTCCATTAGACACAAGAACAACCCGCTGAGCTCAACGGCAGAGCAAACCACAAGATCACCAGAGTTGAGGAAAGTCTTCTCCGTCTTGGATGCCAAAACCAGCAACAAGGCCCCGAATTGGCTCACGGTGATTGTAAACAAGCATCCGATGATAAAGAACCGGTACCTATGGCTGGTAACCCACAATTGCTTCCTTATCCTTACATGTTCCTGAAAAGACAGAAATATCGAGAGAAATTATATCAAATCTTGGTTCAAATGTGCACGAAAAATGTGGAAAACAAAATGTTGCGTCAAAGAGAGAAAATTGTCTGGTATCAGGTACCAGTTTTTGCTTCATCATTGATATTCTGCTTCACCGTTATGTTATCGATACTTTGTTGATATCTTGTAAATATCCACAGATTATTGACCAATTACCGACGAAGTACCAAGTACCATAGATTGGTATCTAGTAACCTGCTAACTAATTACTACCCCTATCACACTCTTTCAAGAGAAAATAGCGAAGAAATTATTGAAATTTCAAAGCATACCTTAAATATGATGCTGGAATCGAATTCACACCCCTCGAACAACTTGTGTAGTTCTTGGAACCTAAGTATTTGGAGCTCACAAGTTAAGCGAAACAAAACACAAACCAGCAAGAACACGCCAGTTCTATAAACCCAAGAAGCCAGAACGAAAACAAACATAATGGAATTGAGTGGGACGCTTGAACTAATATGAGGCAGTGAGATCTTGACAGTGCAGAAGAATATGATCTTGTGGGCAAGCTCAATGAAGAATGAAGGCAGTAGTATGCAAGCAAGGGACTTGAAGGCCTTATTGAGCTCGCGAGTGTATTCGCGACGAACAAAGCCAGAGTCGTCTCCAAGACCGTCAAGGAAGAGAAGTTGTCTTAGGCCATATTTCCTGAAGAAGCCGGACAGAGTTATGAAGCCAATGGCAGCCAAGCCGGACTCAGGAAGTTGGACTAGCTTGTTGAACGAGATAGGGTCAGATGAGGTATTTAGAGAGAGGGAGGTGACGATAGGGACTAGGATTGTTAAGAAGATGAAGGTGAAATAAGATACGAATTTTCCAAGGCACGAGGAGTGGTCGAGTGCCCACCATTTGAGGCTGACTCTGAAGCTGCATAGCTCATATGAGGATTGGAGAAGTAAGGGAATGTCGGGTTGGTTTGAGTCGTCATTGAGGGGGTGGCGAGATATAATTTCGGAGTGGCTCTGGCTGGTGAAGTTGACATTGATTTGGTTGTTCATTGAAGTGGAGGAGTCCATGGATTGGTTTTGTGAGTGTTGGAAATCAAGGAGCTAATGGAGTCTGTAAAACAATCTGCAGTTTGTGAAGACGGCTACAATGTTGGGAGAGGAAGAGGCCTTTTGTGTTTGCACGGAAGATGAAGAATTGATGGTTCGAGGATCAAAGGACCATAAGCGGGAATCAAACCAGCATATTCAAACGTAAGTGGCGGTTTGATTCGGTTTTGACAATCAAAGAGTTAAGGTTTCCAAAAAACCGAACCAAACCAAAGTCCAAAATCTCGTGAGAGGTCTACTTGCCACCCTAGCCTTTTTTATGTTCAACGTCTTTGCGTATTCGTTTGCACAGTTGGCAATCACGGGTCCATTGCCAGATATAAGGATAGTTATTGCTTTCTAATGGTCTCAAACTTCCACACGTGAGGCTCCTAAGAAAGAAGCAAAAGAAGTCCCAGTCCTATAACATCAGTGAAAGCCCATGACAGCATTATACAGTACTACTACAACTTGGCCTTGTTGCCTATAGGATTGTTCTTGACGGTCGTCCAGACGTGTATTACGTGTATGGTGGTGGTCGTCAATTGTTGATGTATACCGTCTACAATGAGATCTACATGCATCAAAGTTTGACAATCACCGCAGGTAAGTGGTAACCGCCTTATTGGCTAGTATGAAGTTTCACCTAATTAAAGGAGATTAATATTAATGTGTCTAGGATGACAAATTAGCCTTGCAATTTCGACTAGACAGAGTGGACTATAGCGAAAAAGACCGGGAACTACTCTCATTCACGCCTAAATTGGGTGTTCCACACGCAAACAGCACGGTAGTGAAGCTAATTCCAACATTGCATCTACCATTAAAGATAAACATTAACACCAAACTCTTAACCATTTAAATATTCACATTCAGTTCAAAAGAAATAAAGGTTAGGGAAAAACTATTCACATTCCTGGACAAGATGACGGAGCTGGTCGAGTGTCTTCACAATATCGCCAAGGCATGCAATGACCCGGTCCCCTTGGCACCTAACAAAATCAGTTTGGAGGTCCCCGGTGCTCTTCACGCCAGCAGCCTTATGGTCAGGTGTCTCAGTAACGATAGCACGGATTAAATCTGCACTTTCATGCAATTTCATAGCCGCAATTTTCTCCTGTTCTTCAATGCTGATTGCCTCCTCTTTTCTTTGACTATTTGTAAGCTTTTTCTTCACACAGCTCTTCTGAGGATGTTCTTCTGCCAGGCTCTTCGGAGGAATTGCTTTTAAACCACTTCCTACAGGTTTTTCTTCTGCATGGGTTTTTTGAGGTTTTTCTTCTGCATGGGTTTCTTGAGGCTTTTCTCTCTTGCAGCTTCTAATTGAATTTTCTCTAGGACTGCTTTTCTTAGATGTTGATCGACGCCTTCTCCTCTTTGACTCTAGCATACAAGAAAATTATAAGAAAAGAGCTGTTGAGAATTATGGTGCAAGGGTTACTTAGCAAACAACCTGATTGTTATGCTTAACTACAATCCATTCATTTACTCGCCCATTACTCAAAATTTCAGCATGACACATGCAGTTTCCCTATAAAAACTATCTAAAGAAATTTCGCATTGCAAATTCAACCACCTTAGACCTTTCATGACATCCACCATTAACTTCCAGAAATAACACCAGTAGCGGGGGACTCAACTAATCATGAATTTATAGAAGCTTGAATTGGTATTCACACTGCTATCGAGTAATCAATCTCACAAATAAGAGAATTATCTACTGAGTGGGTATGCATATCTAAGCTGTCGTATATCACACCTTACCCTTGTTTATAAAACATTCATGTACATCAACATTCTAACCTTATGATTCAAGTCTCAATTTGTGTTTAGTGAGTAAATAAACTGTTTAAGGAGTGAACTTAACGATTCATCTACAAAAATCATAAACAAACTAAAAAAGAAACTTTCCAGTTCTGTTTACTACTTATATTTAACATATATTGCATTTAACAAATAAGATTATGTTCTTTTCCAAATTTTAAAGCCCATACTCTCTTAATCATCTGCAGGTTATTTTTGTGTATAGGGGATAAGAGATTCAAACACACGATGTTAGGTGCACGAGTAAATGTTCTTAACCACTTGAGCAACAAGCCCCTTGCATATTGCACCTATCCGTTATTTACGCGATTTGTGAGTGATGATTATAACATCTTACCATACGAAGGGTGCTCGATTGGACCCTCCCTCTTCATTAATAATTTTCCTAGATAATGAGCTCATATACTTCACAATGTAAACATCCATATAGCAATCAAATCCAAAATGCGAACTTTCATTCAGCAACCAATGATGCCAACCCAAAAATATGCGGCACGAAAAATGTGAAACAAAACAAGCAACTGCATATTAATCACAATGCAGCAATATATATCAATACAGATTTCCATTTGTGGCTGAAAAACAAGCATACCTGGCTCTGAATCAACATCAGGCTCCTCCTCCGCCTCATCCTCCGGATCACTATCTGGGTCTGTATCCGATTGGTTCCCCCTCACTCTCACAAGCTTCTCAATCCCTCTAAACAACTCCTGGTCAAAATTCTCCGGCAGCCCATTCCGCTTCCTTCTTTCAATTCCTAAAACCCAGTACGAATCGGAAGCTCGGGACTTCGCCTCCCACTGCTTGATCCCCTTGTACTCGCCGAACAAAGCCTCCCACTTCCGGCGATACTGGTCCAAAGTCCGCGACACGCCCAGAGCAAAGCAGTTCTGAGCTATGATCTTCCATTTCTGAAACGACGACAGCGCTTTCAGGCAGTCGCCCTCTACGGCGGCGACCTCGTTCACGAGGATGAGCTCGTCAGTCGGATTCCAGTCCGGTGCTGCTTGCGAACGCGTGCTGCGCCGGTTGCCGGAAGAACGGTGAGATCGGTCGAGCTTGGACGGGGTCTGTTCGGGTTTCATTTTCGAAATTTGTGCTCAAAATGCCATCTTTTTTTGGAAATTGGGCGGCGGTGAGTGTCGAATCGACTTACCCAGGACTAGCAGTCGTTTCGGAGGGATCGACGGCTCTGTGCAAACCCTAAAACCACAGCGGAGTGTAGTAACTTGCTCTAAAAAATTTCCACTTTTTCTAGTTTGGGTTAATTTTTCTTTTAAATTTTTGGAAAATGGATTAAAAAACTAAAAATATTTATTTATTTTCTACCATTATATTTAATATAAAGACGACATTTAATTCAAAGTGGTATATTTTTAGGTAAACTAATGAAAAACGTTTTAAAATTTTGAGTTTTAACGATAAGGATAAAATAAAGAGTAAAGTAAATAGTACTATAATTAATTTTTTAGTATAAAAACGTGAATTTTCGTTAAAATAAATAATATCACAAATTTTTCGTTAAAATTCCTGTATTCATTCATCCCTTGGTGACAAGAATAATATTTTTGTTAAATGCAATACTCGTCGAGCTTGTCGTGCTATTGTTAGAGTAAGAGGTTTGTGCAGGGTTTAGGTGCGAAGTTAAATCATTAGAGCAACTCCACCCTTAGAGTCATCCCCCTGGCAATCCACTATTGAATCCACCCTATTGAACAGTAACTGCCTTTACTGAATAGTAACTACCATTAATGAACAGTAATTACATTTTGCATCTCCACCCTTGGAGCCCTCCCCCCTAGCAATAGGTAATAAAATAGTAGTTTTTTTTGTTTGTTTAAATAATATAAAATAAAATAAAACAGGGAAATGGGGCTATAGGACCTCGGGCTGACACAAAAAACAATAAAAAAATGCCTTGGCCCTCGGGCTGCAGGCTTGTCAACTATCCACCCCCTTGTGCTCGGGCTCCCACCCTCACTCAGGCCCTCCATGGCTGGAGAAGAATCAACCGGCCCTCGGGCCCCTTCCTGCAGCCCTTCCCCCGAGCAAAGTAGAAGGCTGGAGTTGCTCTTAGGATCGTTGAATTCATTTTAAGAATCAGGTTATAAAAAGTGAAAATCTACAATTGAATCGAAAGCAGTATCGAAAATCTGAATCCATTCTCTTTCGTCTCTTTCCTCCACTCATCGCCAGTTAATACATTAGTCACAGCATCATGCTTTTCTCCGATCTTAAAACCCAATTCATCTCTCTCCTATTTCTCTCTCTCTTTCTCTACTGCCTAGGTACTACATACTGATTTAGTATTGAAGTGCTTTTATAAAAAATGGGTATAAAACAAAAATTGAGCTCAAAAAGGTATTTGGTAAACACTTAAAAACAGCTTATTTTCACAATTTTAGGTGAAAAAAAAATTGAAAACTTGAAGCAGCAAAAAATGAGCTTTGAAAAAAAGTTTAAAACATGAAGCAACATAAATGTTGGATTATGATTTATTGTTAAACGTTAAATTATGATTTCTTGTTAAATGTTGGATTATATGTTTAAGATAAAGTTTATAAATATTTTTCTTTTAAAAATAAAGTATATTTAGTAATTCACCCTTATTTGTTAAGAAAATTAAATTAACAGCACATCTAGTAGTATACCATTTTTGGTCATTTTACACAGTTACAACTATTTTACATAAAAATTTACCAAACATTATAATACTGTTTTTTTTTCAAAAGCATTTTTATAAAAAAGTTTACCAAACACTTTGCTGCTTTATTTCACAGCTGCTTATTCTCACAGCACAATAAAAACAGTTTTTTTTGAAAGCGCAACAATACCAAACCAACCCTACGTATTCATTTTGATTATTGCCGGAGTTAACTTAACTAAGAGAAATGTAAAGCGAGAGATAGTCTCAAACAATGGTACTTGAATGTTGAATGTAATGTTCTTCAATGATTTGGAATCTCATTGTATTAAAATAAAAAAAACTTGTGAAACGAGATAAAAATGAAACAATCGGCTGATAAAAGTTGATTGCATGAGTGGGTGGCCCTTGTGAGGATGAAAGGTCGATAACATATAAATCTAATGTGCCTTTTGAGAAGCATGTTGGCCGGCTGCCTAAATGGTAAATCCATTGGCCAAGGTTGACATTTAAATTTTGATGAATTCATCGTTGTCCTTAATATAATAAAATACATGATTTTTTTAGTCAAAATAATTTAAAAGATTTTGACCTATGATCTCTAATAATAAAAATTAATAATGCCGTTCTTTATCGTAATAAAGACAGCACATAAACGTGTGGTACTTCTGTTCCATTGATAATCCCACACCTCCGTTAATATGTTGCCATTACCTTTAGACTTACATTACACAATGATTTCAAGATCATACAAATAATTTAAAATCACATTTATTCAAACTCCCATCTTACGTCCCAATTTGTAGAGACTGACAATTACGTGTGTATATAAATTGTGGAGTACAAGAAGCCAATTTCCCAGACCACTCGCAAGAAATGCACACTACTTGTTTATTCTTCATTAATTAGCAACATCATACTCCAATCAAAAACTTATATACGTATACTTTGCATGCATAACTCGTAAGTTTGGCATGCAACTCACGTACATTTTTCATGCAAAACGATCGATAGTTTAAAAATTTACATAAGAGTAAGTTGATACTTACAAATTGACATGCAAATATGAATGAGCCCAACGATCTCTTTCACCCTTATATCCTCAACGTCAAGGTCAAGATTTACAGTCAAATTCTAATACTTCACTTTTTCAAAAAAAAAAATTCAGATAAAT